CAAAATCGGAAAAAGTTCCGGGAAAATTCATTCCATTGTCGGCACATGAATTGTCGATCTCGCCATGACGCCACAAGAAAACGTTGTCATTGGTAGAAAATCTGACACCCCGCTGGCGTTTCACAACAAAATTTTCATGTAAACAACTCCGACTATCTTTGTTTACATCGTGAAAGCTCCTATACAAAATAAAACTCCCACCGGACGCCGCGCCGACCCCATGGTTGCGGCATGACGCTAGTTTTCGGCAGCTCGTCTATGAAAAATAAACCATCCCCAGAAGAAATGTTACGCATGAAAATAACAACTACAACTTGTTTTCCTCGCTGTATGAGTTTTTGAGGCCGTAAAATGTTTAAAATGGTTGAAATTTGCACGAAAAAACGGCTCGAAAATTAACGGCGAGAAAGACAACAGGGGCCAACATGGCCGACCTGCTTTTACAATAACAGTGGTCAAAGGTCAAGATAGCATCCAAATGTATAAGCCATGTACTAAGTACATATTACAGTGCTAAAACGATACTTTAAACGCATGAAAAATATTTTTTCAGCTACAACTGAAAATAATTCACTTATATTTTAATAAGGATAATTTTCAAACATTACTGAGAAATTTTCCAAATTTATTGGTTTCTTCTGTAATATTGTTGTTTCTATGTATGTGCGGTTGGATGCTGTCATTGTAAAGACCCTTTACATATTGGGAGAATCAGATGAGATATTAGAGATTATCACGCTTAGCACCGCGACCCGAGTGTCTCTCAAAAATTGTTTTTGAGTGGAGTTTATAGACATGGTCACATTTTTGTTTGTTCAGCTGTGTCAATATGTGATTTGTTTGAGAAATAGGATTTGGTTTAGTTTTTAATATATTAATTTCAGTAACATCTTTGGAATAACTTGCTCCAAGTTCGAGGTAGTAAATACATGTACATTTTGTATCATGTATTTTTCACTTGTTGAACTTGTGGAAGCACCGTTGGCCCCCGGTTAGGGGTCATCCGGGGAACCTATGCCCAATTTTTCAAAATTAAGGGTGCTAATACTAAATAGAACTTTTTTTGAACATGAAGAGGATAATTAAGTACAGATCTTGAACCTTTCTCCTGCCTTATACATCTGCAATTGTACAGAAAATGTAGAACTGAAGTTGCAGGAAATGACCTCCATTTGTGTTTGGAAAAGACAAAATGCAATAGCTCCAGACCACCCCCCGCAACGCGCTTCGCACCCTCCTCCACCCTGTTCTGAATTTCTGGGGAGATTCCTGATATTCATAAAGTTTTGAAGATTTGTTGCCGGGAATCGTATTCAAGGGGGTATGTTTATTCAGGACCTGTCAATAATTGCAAGTGACAAGGTCATACAGACGCACACATATATATATATACACCATGAGAACACATTTTTGGAGCAAAGACGTTGCTTACATGTCAATTTTTAAATTTTCCGGGGGGTACTTTTATTCCAGGGGGTACTTTTATTAGATTTTGAAGATTTGTCCGGGGGGTACTTCTATTCCAGGGGGTACTTTTATTCGAGAGGTGAGAGTAACCTGCACTGGCCCACACACTGGGTTTATATATGAATGTAGCGGTATCTAGATTTTTATTTGCTGCATTCAGTTACCAGCTAGGAAGTATAAAAGAAACAATGGCAATGGTTTTTGAACAGGTTTTAGTAAGATCCATACTTCTCTTTAAGTGGTATCGGTAAAACCTGTCTGGTTCAGGTAATTTCAAATGTTACACACAAATGTACCTGCACCAGTGCAGATATGCAGAAAAACTATTTTGAGGCTTGAATTGGAAATAGACTGGACATACATGTAGCGTCACAGCTTTATGAAGATTGCAGTCATAATACCTGCAGCCAATATTGCCAAAAAAACGTACGTAAACTGCTAGTAAAATAGACTTACCTAAAATTACTTTTCGCGCTTCCAGGAGTGTTGACCGTGGCAAAAGTGAAGCGGGCGTCAGTGGAGTCATCTATAACAACGGAGCCCCCGGATGTCTTCACCCACACGATGGCCACGTCATCGCCACCACCAGTTTTCTGGGCCTCACAGGTGAACTGCACACTGTCATCCTCAAACGCGGTGGTGCCCTGTGGCTCTGTGGTGAACTCAACTTGAAAAACAAAAGGAAAAGGGGCAATCAGAGAAAGCAGACTTTAACCCCTTACCCGTACTGCTTTGCAACCCATCTACGTAGCAGTACTGTGCACTGTTCAATGAGACAATGGCAGTTCCGCCGTACTGCTATGAGGGTCCACATCACTTTCACATTCGCAAAACTGTAAATTGTAATGTCTTTGATGTAGTTCAAAACTTCATTTACTGTACAGGTAGATTCTCATAATTTACAGATCACCAACTTGTCTTGTTTATACTCATTTTTCTTTTTATGTAGAGGGCGTCACATAAGCAACTGTGCTTCTTGCCTAATACTTGAATGTGAATATTAACTAGATAGTACTGTGCAGTGTGCACAAACAAAAATAGCAGCTCCGCGGATGTATGATAATGCAGTATAACTATAATGGGAATCCTTGAGACACAAACATGCATAGACAAGCTGAATACACACAGATAAGCTGAATTATACTTCAATCCTTTCTGATTCGCAGTCCTGGATAAGACTTGTGATAAGGCTAATGACAATTATAGATAGAAAAAATGCTGTCAATATAGATATTTCATCACTGGTGTTACGTTTCAATGACATGGAATTATCGTCAACATATAAAATATCATCGAATGTACCGATTTATATGTTGATTTTCCACAAATCTACTGTGGAATACAGCCAACTACTGTTATCTGTGGAGTTACCTTATAAGTGTCAAACTATGCAGTACAAATTTGTCCTTTCCTTATTGTGCCAGATCTACATGTAGACATGGGTTGACAGATGGAGAGAGGCCTAGGCAAACTGTACCGTCCCAAGGACATTGAAAAACACAACTGCATTAATCACCCCTAACAATCAATCTAAATGGTCCACGAATGTGCCTAACCTTCACAAGATGGCAAACGATAGAGATGAACCATGGCGTTCGGAACATGCTCGAAGGTCCGTTTTTTAATCTTAATGTCCATGATTTTTTTTAGAAGGCGGACTGATTCTGTTCTGATACCATTTATTATGGAGGCCATTTTAAAACAGATACACTCAAATTATTATCATTCTTTTTCTTCCAATAAAATACTGTCTGAGTTATGTGAGAGTCTCTGATTTTTCCTTGAAATCTTCTCAAAAACACAGAAAAGAATATTGCAAAAGTTCAGAATGTTTGGTTTTCAAAATTTTTGGGGGAAGCCCTAGAGGAAGCTTGCGCCTTTGGTGTGCGTCTTGCGCCAATGGCACTCGCTGGTCCCTCAGATAGTAAGAACAACTCTCCAAGCAAAATCTGATACAGTGAAAACCAGATCTGATATTACACCTACACAACTGTATCTGGGTCTTCCTGTATACATTGTTGGCATATTAAAATATTCACTATTTACACTCAATACAGGGATCTCCCCAGAAATTTAGCACAGAATGGAGGGGGGTGCAAAGCACCCCAAATGGAGGGTGCGCAGCACCCGAGGCGGCTGGCGGGGGGTGGTCCAGGAGCTCTTGCATTTTGCCTTTTTCAATTACAAATGGAGGCCATTTCCTGAGAGTTAGCTTCCAAATTACATTGGATAAAGACTATTTACACTCAATATATATAAACATTCTAACTACCATACAAAATCAATGGAATCAGATCTTCATTCTATCACTTTTCTGCATCAACTTGGAGGTTTATTCAAAACACTACAATACGCACATGCAAATATGTCTATCACAAAAATTTCTCCAGGGAGATCGACTCCATTTTCAGATGGACCGATTCAAGGGACATATTGGGTTTTTAAAGGAAGGTTACCTTGAAGCATTTGTCCCATGGGTAGATTGAAATGGGTCACTGAACAACTGTGACATAGTTGAGAAAGGGGAAATTCAAACCATTTGGTATTTTGAATCATAGAATTATCATCTAGGAAATAAATCTAGAAAAAAATCTCAAAGTATTTAAATAACAATTATTCCATGAAAAGAGTACATCCTGGTTTGTGATGTCAAAAAAACAAGTCAATATGATTTCAAAAATATCAAAATCATCAATAAATCTAACCCCTATACCATTTGACAATGCATAAGAAAACATACTATAAATTATACTATAAAGCACAGTGTGTGTTTCACAAACATGACTGCGAAATGGAGAAAATGCATTTTGATAAAACTATTTTCCCATTAAAAAAACCTAGTCATGACCGATCTAGACATACGCACGTACCAACTAGACACTCAGCCACGTATGCATACGTGCAAAGAGCAAACCATACAACTACACTGAACTAGACATAGACCAATTACACAAATGAAATACTTCAGTAACAACGGACAGTCAGGCAATTTACTAAATCAAGTAAAAAGCCAACATGATGTACATTTTGTATTGTCTCTCAAATCTATCAAGGATAAGAAGGGAAAAAAACTGATCAAAGTCAATGTTAACTGGGACATGCTTTTAAGCATAGTAAGGCCACACCAATGTAATTTGTTGGTTCTCGGATTTTTTCAGAAAAAATATGAAGCGACAGGGCAAAAAAAAATAAAAATAAAAACAGGTCTAGGCATCCTATTATAGGCTTAAATGCTATAAAATGAGCCATGAAGTCAACACAAAAGGCTGGGTTAAAATTCAAACATTGAATTTTGAACTTTTAATCAAACCACTGCAATGATAGATGGGAAAACTGTAACAACTAGGAAGAAAAGGACTTTCCTCAACTGTTGGGGGCAAAACATGAGCATTTTTCAGTTGATTCAGGACCAGAATCAATTTTTTTTTTTTTTTGGCAAATCAGAAAAAAACGAAGAGGCGAATTCGAGAACCAACAAATTAAATTGGTGTGGCCTAAGTAACTAAAATCCCTCAACCTGAATTCAAGACAATAAACTAGTTAAAAGACACCTAGCTTGTATACATTGGATTATTTTGTCAGTAACACAGGTAATTTTGTTGGAGTGACCTAGGCTAAAGGTTATTTATTCCCAAGAGAAGTAGAGATGCTAGGCTTTAATGAGGTGACCTGACAACCAAAGTAATTGGTATGGAATGTAATCACATGTGAAGATACATACATGAGCCTTATAAGGTAATCCGTAAATCATGTCCATGGTTTGGCTTGTCTGACTGGATCACTAGTGCACTGTATCTTGCTTGTTTTGACAGTAGGCTAAATATTGGTAATTCCTGATTTTTTTTCACGGTACTTTTATGTTCACGGTTTTCATGCTCACTTCTTTTCTGTGAACTTACCAATTTGTGAACATATACTATAGTTCCGTAAAGACCTCCATTTTTCCTAGTCTAGGAAATTTGCTACCGTGAACGTAACATGAATTACAGTAGCATTTACCAATCCATGTTCCCATTTCCTGTGACATACATTGTGCCCAATATATCTGCTATCTCTGATATGGTGATAGGAAGCACTAGCACATTACATGGATAGTTGTCTTATCATGGGATGTTCAGACCTTACTTAAGAATTTATTTGTGTATTAAAGAGTTACGACAAGAAAAAATAATTTTATTTCAACTTCAAGTTGCTTTTTTCGTCTAATGAGTGGATATAGAGTGACCACAATATGAACAGTTTCCTTCCAAATCTAGATTTGCGTCGTCCAGAAACAATGCTATTACAGAGTCAGACATATACCACCTGTGTCCTGTTTTGAATGGTCTAGATCTAGAATCTGGACCCTTAACCTTGTCCCTGATCTCAATACAGGTACATACATCCCACATGTACAAGAATTAGAATGACTTGGCATAAAGTGATATGCTGGTCTAAGTACTTATCTTATTTTGGGCTGCAATTCTTTCAACAAAACTCTAGACACTGCAGACAAATATCATTTTGTTTATACTACTAAATATTTCTAATATAAAAGTACATTGGCAATTTGCTCATTGAGCACACATCAAAAATACATTAAACTGAACTTCAGATTCAGAACGTCCTTGTAGTTGTATATTCTCAATGCTGAGATCCTCCACACAATATTATAGTCTTGTCACAGATATTAAAGCATCTAGCATTTATTGAAAATGGCACAAAACAAAAATTAAATATTGTGTATCTGGCGGGTAGTCGGGTACCCTCATAATTTGAACCTTTCACATTACTATATGATATCAAAATTTTTTATTGATGTTCCAGTGTCTTTTCATAATATTTTAACAATTTTTGAAAGAATCTTTCACAGAAGAATATGGAATTTCCAGCTGAAAAGGGTCTGTTACCAGAGCTACACTAACAGTACCAGTAACATGGCTAACATACCGTTACAAGAACCTTGTCTGTCAGCTTAGCGCATCTGCCAAGATAACGTTGGGCGGGGTACGTATCGTCTTTACCAAAATTTATCCACGAACTTCGCCATTTTCTAATGGAACATTGAGAACTATTCGATTGCATACAATACATGTAGTTAGAAATGAATTATAAGGCATTCGGGTGACACCACGATTATTTTTTTTTCGGACGGGATGATGTTCAAGGTTGTAACGCCCCTCCCCTTTCCACGAGACAAGAGAGCAGCAGACGTAATTTTTAAGTGGTTGCAACTCAAGGTTTAACAGATTAAACTGCACGTTCTCAAATGATATGGGGAATATTATCAGACACCCAACATTCGCAAAGCTTTTTAATCGGACAATGATGCAACATTCACACGCAGGTGGCATAGCAAGTCCTTCGGTCACTTTTTCTTCCCGATTGCCCTCCCCAAACACTTACCTTGATTTTGGGCTCTGCAAGATGCAACAATAGCCATCAATAAAAGGCTAATAAGCAGTCTTGACTTCATCGTCCTTCTCTCTGTAGTCGTCTGCTCCAGAAAATATGTGAATTATGTGCCTGATTTGGTAGAAAAGGCTCGAATTTCGTGATAAATACACCAACAAATCGCCAAAATCGAACAACCGAGACGAGTCGTGGGTCACGTGACGCTTGGTGACAGAGGACGCATGCGCAGTTTTGCAATGACGTCATATCGCAAACATACTACTGTACTTTGACTTTTGACCTACTTTCTGATAAACAACGTCGCTTCTTTCCTTTTTCTTTCCTTTGAACTATTTGGATAGCATCGCTGTATAACATGTTCTTGAAAATATTCAAGATGTTAGGAGGATAAATCTTGACATCCTTTTCCACGCTTTTCTACGTTTGTTTACGAGTCTGTTTTCATGACAGTCGCCACTGCCAACATCTGCTTGGAGATAAATGTTTTCAACATCTACCTTGATCTGATCGACTTAATAATAATTGCGAAATTGATTTACGTTTTTTAAAACGTACTATTTAAAAATACCTTAGTATTCAATACGAGCGGTCGCCATGACGTCACGTCCAGCGAGTGGTAGGCAAAAAGCGGGTAACACCAACACGAAGTTCAACGCGTAAACGTTATCATTGTCATCATTAACTCCAAGCAGATGATACGGTGGCAAGGCAGTATCCATCGGGTCTGAGGAGTGTCTATTTAGCGATGGCCTTGTACTGTCTTGCCACCGTATCATCTGCTTGGAGATTATTCACCACGTATATCAGGCATCGTCATACTATTGTGTTTTGTCTGAAGTCTAATCAATTCCTTGGGAGACTGATATTTAGTAAGTGGTAACGTTAACCCAAATCATGGTAAATGAATCGTCATTGTAAAAGGTCGGTATAGTAATATACCAGTTATTCAGAGAGAATGTCCCTCATGTCAAGAATTAGAAAGTGTTGAATATGAATATCATTTCATCATAATGACCTGTCCTACGATACTTTAGATAGACAAAAATTTATGAAAATGATCACATGTAAAACTGGTAAACCTCCTCCAAAGACAAACATAGATATTTTCAATCTACTTATGTCATGTCCCGACTCCATATCTACGTACTTAGGCCAATATATATGTAGTGCATTACAAAAGAGAGAGAGAGAGTATTGTAACAGACATCCTCCTTCGCAGGGCTAAAATCCTCCGGTTCCTTCCTTCGGAGGAAGGAACCGGAGGATTTTAGCCCTGCGAAGGAGGATGGTAACAGAGAGCAACGCCAAATTCACATCATGCCATACGCCGTTTGCGTTCATAACCCTGTAGTAATACTAGTATTCTCTTAGAATAGACTTGATTGTATTGACCACACTGTTATTGATGCCATACGTACCATGTACAACTGTCGAGTAATAAAGTTCATTCAAGTTCTTTTGTAATTGTTAAACCAAGGCCTGAGGTTGAATTTTAAACCTCCTTAATCAAACATCCTTCAGGTTAAACTTCAGAAAATGTCCACGAACAAACAGACATGCTTGACTTGGTCAACTTTTATATGCCATAACGCATTTACTAGGACGCGTTGACAACATTAGAGTAAACCTACGTGTAACAGTAATCAGATTAATTGAACTTTTTAGCATCATGTGAAACGATTATGAGTCAAACGGGGGAGTTGTTGACTATGTCAACGATATTCAACATGGCTATTAAATGCTGTGCCTTTGGAAATTTATCGTTACACTAGTGAAAGTATTCAGTATAAAAACAGTATACCAAACAACAAAAACACACAAGTCTGTTACAGTGGTTAAGTCTGTAAAGCACACAATATGAACGGTGGATATCCGTTGTTTATTCCATAGAGTCAAGAACACGCTCAGGTACATATATACAAACGGTCGTTTTAACCCAGGGAACTTTTCATAAAACTATGACTTAAAACTGTCGCGGTCTGAAAAATGATACAATACTCACTAAAGGTACTGCAAACGTACACAAGTCAAGTGAAGAAACGCGTGTCCTTAGAATGCGTTTTTAACGAAGGTTTTCCATCCAGCGTACAAGATCATGTAGCCTCTACCACGCTTGGGGAGGTGGCTTAAAGAGTAGAAATCGGCCAAATAGAGAGATAAGCATGCCAAGGGAGTTTGTCCGTTGAGAGAACGTGCGGCGAAATGTTCTCTCAACGGACAAACTCCCTTGGCATGCTTATCTCTCTATTTGGCCGATTTCTACTCTTTCCGGCCACCTCCCCAAGCCTGGTAGAGGCTCATGCACTAATGGCGGTATTCAAAGCTCTTCAGAAATATACTCTTTGCCCTCTTGAAACCACGTAGTAGCGCTTGGGCTCTCCAAAACCACGCCCACCGACACCTGGCACACGCTCGAGCGTGCGCAGAGAGCACCTGTATCGACACTACGTCACAAAAACAAACCGCCCGATGGAAACCGAGCCGGTTAATTATAACCCGGTGACCTGTGAATATGGTTCTGGGGCTTTCCATCCTCATTCTACAAATGAGGATGGAAACGTCGGAGGTACCAAACAACGTACACGCAGTACTGGTTGTGACGACTTACTCTGGGAAGACATGTCACATGCATTATATGTTCTGCTATACTATAGATAAAGGCTAAATGAGATTGCATAATTTTCGGAGGTACTAGTTCTACTAGTAACCTGTAGGCAGTTCGGACGACTTACTCTGGGTAAGTACGAATTTATGATTATATATATATAATATATATATATATGTAATATTTGCGCTATTTCTTATTGTGCTTGGATAGTTAACAGGTTGCGCTAAGTCAGTATAAGTTAGTATAAGTAAACAATTAGTTTTGTTATTAACAACCTTCATCGATCGGCTGTCCAGTCGAGTCAGCAAGGTACATGTATTTAGCCATGCACCATCAACCCGGCAGTGAGAATCCCCCGGGGGCCGCCTTCCAGTCACTGTGCCGGGTCAACATGGCGGGGAACCCCATGCCAGTCGTTCTATAATTTAGTATAAAACAAGTGAACGCTTATTAGATTGGCCTTATTAGATTATTTTCTGTGCTGATCTACCTTCGACAACCTTCCTCGCAACTGTCCCGAGTACTGAGGAAAATAGTGCCCAGCACCGTCGATCTTTGCAAGTCGTTGAAAATCACCGACCGTGCGATGTAGTACGTATACCATAGCTAGCGCTTGGTGTGGGTGTTCCCTCGTCTTCAAAGCCTTTATCTAAATGAGTCTGCACCTTTTTCTCAATTTTACGCTCCTTCTTTAAGCTTACTGATATTAACGGTTGCGGTCTGTGACTTTTCTCGTACTTAACCACCTCCTAGTAGTCCGAGCAAATGTAAGGTCAGGCTTTTTGCAATCATTTTATTGCATTTTATCCGCCTCTCTAGCTGCTCTACTGGGAAAAGTACACCACTAAAAAATATAAAAAAAAAAAAAAACGTCACAAAAAGGCGAGCAAAGCAAGCTCGAGCTAACATGCATTTGTGCGGAAGTAACAGGCTGTCTTCGGGTCTCTAATAGTTTTCCCCGGTCCAGCTCAACAGACCGCCTTGTAGCAGTGTAATACCCCTGCAGGAGTTTTGCGTTTTGCACTAGTTGATTAGCCCCTAAATTAACTCCCGTCGTGCAAAACCTATCGGGGAACCTAGCTGAGTCGGGCGGGGAAGAGCTCCTGTAGCCCCGAAGAGAACCCAGCCTAACCGCGATAGACCCGGTGGACACACCAGGGTACTGGTGACCTCGCTATTAATTACACCTATAGCTTTGTCTGACCTTTGTCCCTACCTGCCAGTGTAGGTGTACCTCCGTCGCCATCATGGCGTTTGCCGACTCACATTTCCAACCTGAAAGGTAGCCAGCAGCGTTTGCTTTATCACGAGCTACAGAGCGCTATCCTAGCTTTCTATGTATCTGTAATGTGTTACACTTGTTACTCAAAGCAAAAGGAGTGCGCCATTGTAAACCGTTTAGGAATAACTTCGGGGTTGCCGTTAGTTTACATTCGTGTTTAGCCTATAGTACATTCAACGAACAAGCAGGCATGTTTCAAACAGGGGTGCTACATGTAAAGTTGTTTTCTATGGCTGTGGTCAAGACTTCCTTGTTCAGAAGTTGCCTATCTAAACCTTTGCAAATGTCATTAATTTCTCGGCATTATGTCTTCTAAAATGGAGAGCATTTGACAGTGTCTCTGACCGTGAAAATGTTTTCGTCCCCCTTCAGCAATGGACGTGCGTGACCGCAACAAGCTCCGTATGAACCACCGTCTCCTGAAGAGGACGGTCTCCACACACTACATCAAGGGCTACCTGTACGAGAAGGGCGTGCTCACCATCGACGATGTCGAAACCCTAAACAACAAGCCTACAGAGGAGGACAAGATGGAGACGCTGCTCTTCATGCTGCCCAGGAAGGGCGACGGCGCGTTTCAGAAGTTCTGCTCGGCCCTGAAGGATACACGCTACGAGCCGTCTCTGTACAAACAAGTGGCAGATATACTGGAGTCTACTGTGTCAGATGAGGAACAGGAAGGCCAGCAATGCAGGGAAAAAGCTGTTGTTATTGCGGAAAACGGTAAGCACTGATGTACAGAATTTGTAATTTGCAAATCCCATATGTAAGTATATTGACATCGAAACTAAACTCAAATCCGTCTGTTACAAGGGTATTCCGTACTAACCGTGAGGTTGCGACTAATCGGCCACACTTTATGTTCATGTTTACGTGGCCCATGAGCAAAGTCGCTATTATATGAAACAGCTAGTCGCACACAGGGCTAGTTCATTATTTATCGCACTCTTTTCGAGGATAGTAGATAGACTCACGCCGCAGGGAATTATCAAATGGGGGGGGGGGAATAAATCTGCGGACTACAAATGTTTGGCATGAACACAAAACAAACAGGATCGGAAGCGTCCTGTGACACTAACCATTCATGTTCTGCAGTGGTAGTGTATTTTTCTCCTTGTCTTTCTTTAAATAAAAAGGAAGCTCCCCCGACGTCCGAGAGGAGGTTGCTCGGTGGGACCTCCTCTGTAAGCGCCGCCGGGACATCGCCACCTGCCTGGACACGGAGAAGACCTGCCTGCTTCTCCTCAACTCCGACGTCCTGACCGATCGGGAGCGCAAAGTGATCGAGCGGGAAGAGTCTCCACCCGAGCGGGCCCAGACCCTGCTTCGCATCCTCCCCACCAAGGGCACCAACGCGTTCCACGCCTTCCGCCAGGCTCTGAAAGATCAGGGCCGAGACGACCTGGCGGCCCTCCTGGCCGGCGAGCCCGACCGAGTTTACAACCCCGTCAAGAACTTCGCCAAGGCGGTGAGCCACTTCTACACCTCCGAGGACGCCAAGCAGGTCAACCTGGCAATGGAAGGTGAGCAGTCTGTCGTCGTCCTGTCCGGCATCACCGGCTCGGGGAAGACCCAGCTCGCCCTGTGGCAGGCGCAGCTGTTCGTGGAGCGCCATCCCACAGCCGTGGTGTGGCGGCTAGACGGCCACGACAAGAAGAGTTTCCTCACCGACAAGCAGAATCTCCTTCAGGCGCTGAAGGAAAAAGTCCCGACCGATGACAGCCAGCTAGACGACTGCGTGGCGAAGGCCCTCGACAACCGGAAGACTCCAGTCCTGCTGATCATGGACGACCTGGACGACGGCCTGTTCCTCTCGCCCGCCTTGTTGAAACCGAGAAAGGAGTCGAAGATCCTGCTCATCACCCACCGCAAGCGTCTCCAGCAGCCGGCAAACGTCTCCATCCCGGAAGACTCCTACATCACCGTCAACGGCTTCTTGGAGGACGAGTCGGTGGAATTCCTGCGGATGAAGCTGCAGGACCATCCCGCTGACGAGCTGCGGAGTTTGGCGACGACGTTCAGCGGTCTCCCCCTGGGGCTGGCGGCCGCCCGCAGCTACCTGTTCCAAACCAAAACGAGCGTGGAAAACTACCTGACTCTCCTGGAGAAGAGAGAGACTGCGTCTGAATTGGAGGAGAAAGCAGACAGGTAAGTGTTATTGTCATCAGTCATTGTAACTTAGTATTGAGCCGTCGTTCCAGCGCTAGTGTTCAACAATTGTTCCTTACTTTCGCATAATTCTAACCCACTATGGTAATAGCAATGACAGATGATGTGTTTTGCCTTCATCAGGTGGATGTTGCAGTTCTACGAGAGACCAGAGGACCAGAAAGCCGGCAGAAACCTTTTTGCCGCCCTGCGCCTGGCAGTCAGCAAACTGGACCAACGGGTTAGCAACTTTCCAGCAATCCTTTGCTTTTTCAGTTTTAATGCCACCTTTTTAAACAACATAGAAAGTACAATACACAGAGGTCGACAACTCAAGCACATTGCTAATTCTAACCGTACCACCGACAAAGAAGAACATAATCAATAACAAATAACAAAACAGCAAATGGACATTCCAAAAATACGAAGATAACATGTAAAAACTGGATTCTGTGAAATTGAATGTTTTTGTAGGCATTTTAAAACGTTTAGTCAATCATAAACCATTTTGCGTTACAACACAGGTTTGAGTCATAGTCAAAATATGCTTATTGATTTCCATTGATTTAGGGGTGAGCCCCTGAGTAATGCCAGCTTTTCTGTAATACGCAAAATTTATGACCTCCCCCCCTTTCCCCTTCCACCTTGCAGGCAAGGTCCATGTTCCAGCTGACCGGGTACATGGACAAGAGCCGGATCCCCATCGTGGTTCTGAAGGAGGACGTGCAGGACTCCCCCGCCATGAGGAACGTGGCGCTCAACCATCTCGTCATGCAGGTGGAGGACCTGTCTCTGGGGACGGTGGAGGGCATCGACAACGACCGCGTCCTCTCCGTTCACGAGGTGCGATAGTGTGGGTTACTGCTTCACGGGGTTACAAAGTTTAATATTGTTGATTTAATTGCTAGAGAATCGTGAATAACAATCATGAATGTAACACTCACAACAATTGGAGCTAATTCGTAGAATGTCCTTGGATAGACCATGTCATAGTGCCTGGGAATCCTTTCTACGGTGGCCCACAAGTACACACCTGCATCGTCTGCGCAAACACCTGTGTCGTCTGCGCAAACACCTGTGTCGTCTGCACATACACCTTCGTCGTCTGTGCAAACACCTGAGTTGTCTGCGCAAATGCCTGCGTCGTCTGCACATACACCTGCGTCGTCTGCACAAACACCTGCGTCGTCTGTGCAAACATCTGCGTCGTCTGCACACAAAAAACGTCCCGAAAGAAGCTTCCTTGTCTGCGCCAAAAGAAGGGTATCCGGAAAAGGTGGGCTAGGGCTAGAGCTTGGTCTGCCTTGCAGGGCTACCCTTTCTGGGCCCCAAAGAATGTGCATGGGGGTTTGGTGTCTAAGCCTAAGGCCCCCATTCCACTTAGTGGCGCCCTCACGCTCTCTGCGACCTGAAATTGGCCAGAGCGCGGAGAGAGCGCCGAGCTCCATGGAAAACGTGCTCAATTGGAATCTGTATGGCGACCTCTCTGCGCTCTCTGTGCGACCAAAAACTTAAATGTCAGCAACATTTATGAGAGACCAACGAATTCATAGCTCACTCAACAAATTACGGAAATTGAGAACGAAATTTTCTATGTTTTCTTTCTTTCAAAGTCATTCTTGTACATCCCGCATCATATCTAGATTATCAAATCAATGGTGTAATGCCCCCATGTCACTAGGACGCTCTCTCTGCGACCTGAAATTGGTTGGAGGGTGGAGAGAGTGCCGTGAGAGCGCCGAGGAAGCTCCCACCTTACTGCATGTGTTTTACCACTTAGGCTTTCTGTGAGTTGTATTTTCATGAATGTCCACCTGTGCTTGTTTGAAAAAATGACTTACCAGTAACAGATGCATGTTTCTTTGTATCATATCAACCATATTGTACTATGTCATACATTTAGTAAAGAGAACATTTCAGGCAGTTCAAAAGAACCATTCGTCATGTAACAGTTGAACTCATGCCTGAAAAATCTAACAATGTCTTATGAGTATATAGGGTAAGATATGTTCTCTTTACTAAATGTATGGGCAAGGGTAGCCCTGCAAGGTAGCCCTAGCCCTAGCCCTAGTCCTAGCCAACCTTTTCCGGATACCCTTTTTCGGCGCAGATAAGGAAGCTTTCTTTCAGCGCAGACAAGGAGGCTTTCTTTCGGTGCAGACGAGGAAGTTTTTTTCTGCCCAGACGACGCAAGCGTCCGCGCAGACGACACAGGTGTCTGCGCAGACGATACATCTTTTTCTGCGCAGACGACGCAGGTGTTCGCTCAGACGACACAAATGTGTACTTGTCGGCCACCGTAGTACGGTCCTTTTGCATCATATCTTTTAAAATTTGTATGGAACAGTTTTATCAGAAAGGAAAGATTGATCAGAATTGTAATAGAATATTTAGCATCAATCATATCGCTGAAACCTTTATGTAAGAAGTCTTATCTTGTCCACTAGGTGGCCCAGCTGGCTATGCGCCTGTCATTCACCAAACAAGAGGAGAAAGAACGTCTGAAGAAGCTGCTGGACATACTCCTCAAGTACTTCGCCAAGGATAACCGATACACAAAGTACGTCACTGATGTCCAAAGGGTCTTAATCTCTTTTGATATGTTTTGAGCTTTACATAATTATATTTTATCGACTGTATTGATCATTGCTCCTTTCACGTGCAGATCCGGAAGGCTTGCTGAACTCCTCCAGCCGCATGTTGGAAAGGCCCTGCGGTACGCCAAGGCCGTTAACGACGACGGGAGGTTCTCCCTGGCCCTGGCCCGCCTAAGCGAGGTGTACGGCTTCATGAACACCCAGTGTGGGATGCCTGGGAACGCCGAGGAACATCTCAGAGCCGCCAAGGTACGTAGGAACATGTTACAGATAGCTTATTTGCATACCTTATTTACATACAAACGAGACACCCGGTGTGTCTCATTTGTTTGCATCCCACTCACTCTCTGCTCAAGCTGGTGCAGAAAAGGCTGAATTTTGGTTTAATTTTTTCCTGACAGGACCATCTTGAGGACCTCGCCAAAATTGACTGGCGTGACGTCAACTACCAGGTGATTGAAAAGTTCCAGGCACACACCCGCGGTTACATCTCCATCGACGAGCAGGGCAGCGTGGAAGAGAAGAGCGTCAAGGAGGCCGAAGTCCTGTACTGGAAGCTGTCCGAGGCGAGCAAGCGGCTCCCCGACGAGGTTTTCACCACCATGATCCAGAGCCGGGTGATCGTAGACCAGGACTTGGCTCTGTTCCGCGCGCTCGGCAAAGCCCCCGCCGGCCTGGCCGAGTCCGTCATGAACAAGGAGCCACTGACACAGGCGCAGTACAGGAAGATGGTGGAGGACGGCATCGCCATTGACGTGGAGCGCATGAAGGAGGTGTACCTACCCGAGCTGTACGCCTCCATCAACTACTCACTGGGACGCTGCTTCTTCTACATGAAGGTATATGGAGTATGAAGTCATTCTGGCCGTCTCCAGATTTCAGGCAGTGTGAATGTTATTCCTCTTCATTGTGTATGTTTGTCTTTGTGTTGACCTAATTATATAATGTCTGAAAACGCAGGAGAAATACGCAAACGATCCAGCGGGAAAAGACAGTCTCATCAGAAGCATGCAGCTGGCCTACTACGTGTGTGACCAAATCAAAAAGAACACTGGGATATCAGTTCTGCACAAGTACCTTTCTGAGACCAACGCACTTCTGTATCTGCGTCTGGAGGAAGAGGGAAAGGTAAGCCACTTGTCTGATTATTGATCTAGGTCAGCTATGAAGAATGAGTTCAAAGCATTTCTGTTATGCCTTTATTATTATTTGATCAACACCAGCAGTGAAATGCGTGTTTACACAGGTCGTAGTGAGGAAATGCAGGTAAATTTAGCACGCCTCGAGGAAATACACGTAAGGGTAGTTATTCAGGCTCGGTCCGGCATTATGGCTGCCCTCCACTTTTGCGCCCATAATATGCAGCTGTGCGTGTTTACTCGGTTTGTAGTGAGGAAATCCACGGGCGTGCGACGTCAGCGCAGCGCAAGAATATACACGCATGCAAACTCAGCGCAGCCTTAAGCCCTGGTCACAACCCGCCGTACGCTGTTTTTTGGGAGGCCACGTCTTCTACGTTTTTCTGAAAACGTGGGGAAGGAGTGGCGTCTACGCACGTCACTCGCACGGTTGGCCAAGGTGTAAGAGTGTGGTCTGCACGCCACGTCTGGCTGTGAGCGGTTGCCTTACGTTGCATTCGTTCGTTGCGCAAGTGGTGAGGTGTACGTGCTTACAACGTACGATTTCTGTGCGATTGCAACTTTACAGTAAGGAGGCTGTACTCACACATGCTTCTTACATGCAGTACGTACGGGGCACGCGCGTCGCTCGTACTCGCACGCACGGGTGGTGAAACCACAGAACGCACGCAGAAAACGTTTTACATGGCACTTAAAGTTCTACGGCATGTCTGTGTGTTCCCAAATCCGTAGGATTCCGTACGGAAGCGGTACTCACCACACACGGATGCCCTGCCTTTGCCCACTCCAAACCTACGATATATTTACATTTAATTCCACTACACCACCATTTACCAAGTCCGTGCATTTTATTTCCAGAGTCCAGACGACCTGAGGAGGGACATCAAATACGCCAGGAAAAGGTACTCGGAGTTTGTGGAGGGAAGAGGAGAATACTTCGAATTCGGCATCCTGAAGAAGTTTGGTCAAGACAGCTATAGGTACATATATGTTAAAGCTTTGACTTCTACCACAGTGGAAAAATCAAATTGGCCTCTTAATTTGATCTATCACAGCAATTGGTCTATAATCAGTGAATCATTGTATGTCACGCGTGTACTTCATTTTATCACTGTGACATCTCTTCATGCAGTCTCATGGTGTGCCAGCGCCAACTCATTAAGTGCTTCAACTCCCTCATCAAACTGTCTGAGTCTGAGCAAGAACGGCTGGCGTATTTTGAGAAGGCACAGACTGAGTGCAGGTAACAACACTAATATTATCAGTTACATTTGGGATGCTAGCTCGCAGCTGTTGGCTATATTTCCTGTTTTTTATTGGACACACATAACCGATAATGTTATGGGTACAAAATAATTTTTATATCTTTAATTTACATATCATGTTCATTGTTAAGATTTAAGATTGACTTTTCATTGACGTCCGATTTCTGTAGGAATATGATCATGCATGCAGAAAAGCAGATTGCAACAGACACCTATGGAAAAATTGTGGAGCGGCCAGAACGTTTGGCAGTTTTCTACAACACTGCAGGTGGGGACTGCATACCAACCTCTGCTGTAGAATTTATATACTAGGTTTTGGGCCCATGCTGCTTTATCGCATCTATAGCATGCCTTTAGGATTGTATAGGATTATAGGATTCTATACAAGCTAAAGGGTACATGACTAGATCTAATAAACTTCTGACCAGATATTTATTTGTTTTCGTATTTGCTATTCATTTTATCATGCACAGGAAAGTGCTTTGCTGACGATGGTGACTTCAAGAAACTCGAGGAGGCACTTGACTGGTTCCAAAAGGCGTACGACCTCGAGACCGAGAGGGGCAAGGAAGACTACCCCCTGTCGGACGCCCTCCTTGGGCTGGCCGAAGGTCTGGTACGGCGTAACCACGGCGACGATCTCGAGAAGGCAGAGGGCTACGTCGGTCAGCTCCTGGAGTTGTACAACAGAAAATGGCCAGGCAAGAAGGATCAGATCAAGAAAGCCCAGGAGATACAAGTTCAGATTGCTCTGTTGAGGTAGAGACATGTTTGCACGCGGCTGGACCGTGGCTAGCTTTATAACACCGAACGACCTGTAACACCGGTCATACGGGTATACCGATACAGGTACACCTAATCTTTTCACATTGCATACTCCTATCAGGAAACAAACTAAAGCTGAAGTGTAGATTAGAATGATCCCTCTAATCTACAGCTCTGAGTCAAGGGCTATGAGTTCAGCCTAGAGCAAGACACAAGAATGTTTAGAAGAACTGTGTATACATAGCATGAAAGTTCATCTGTGTTGGTAAACTTCATTATGACAAAAAGTTCTTTAGTAAACGTTCTTGCCAACACTGAGTAAATTGGGACTTACCCCCAAATTTTCGGTGTACATTCGGGCCAACCGTCCAACACTGAACAGAGACGAGGGGCGATAGTACCCGTTGAACCGATATGTAGAATTTTGATAGACTCATACCAGCTAGTAAACTTATTATATGTCAGATCTTTTTAACATACAAATACAATGGGATTTGTACTACAGTTTAATTTATAAAACTACTTTTGATTCTTATATAAGAGTATTTCAGTATAAATTGTTACATAACTTTCTTGCTCTCAAAAATAAGTTATATAGATGGAACTTAGCAGAGGACTCATTATGTTCTTATTGTAATTTGGAAGAGGAGACACCTTTACACATTTTTTGCCATTGTACCTCTCTTGTGGGGTTTCTGGGGGATGTGGAGTTTTGGATAAAACAACATGTTGATACAGAAGTTAAGCTCACACCCAGAATTATCATATTAGGCATTTCAGTTAACCATCCTATTGTCCTTAATATATTGTTATTGATATTAAAGCTCTATATATATAAAAACAGACAGTTTAAGTTGGTCACGATTAAGGGCTTTACATGTTATGTTAAATACTATCATAAATTAGAATATGTGATAGCACAAAACTGTGGGAAAATGGATAAACATATGTTGAAATGTAACATTGTACCTGTTACAATTGTTGTGCAATCAACTTTGACCTGACTTGACTTGTAATTCATTTTTTTATGTACTTCTATATACTTTCTGTTTACTCGACTGTGCATTATATGAAGATGAACGCCAAGCGCTTTTTGAAACTTAACAATTAGACAAGATATGGAAGAAAATGTCAAAACAGGACACTTTTAAATACTTGATGTCAATCATGTATATCAGAGAAATTATGTACTTATGTCTCCAGATGTTTCAGAATGAGGCAAGAAACAGCGATTAACAGTAGATGATTAGTACATTGTTTTGTTGTTATGTACAGACTTATAGCAGAATTAGAATGTAGAGCGGCTTAGTATATCCTCTAGACCTCTTTTGATCACAATCATGTGCATTAAGCCCACCTGGGCAAGAATATGCAATAAAGATTCATTTCAATAAAGCACTTTTGCTTGCATTTTTTTAAAGACTTTTTCGAGTGAAATTTCTCGTCCACTATATATGTGTGTGTGTACAAGCAAAAATCTTGATTATTGTACCAAATAAAGAGATTGTTTACTCCTACCATGAAGGGACAGACAGCTGGTATAACCATGATCGGTGCGAGTATGATTTTTACCTCCATGAAAAATAGAGGTATTGTTTTTGGCCTGTCTGTGTGTGTGTCTGTCTGCCTGTGTGTTTGTGTTTCCGCACATTTGTAGTCAGCATAACTTCATAACACCTTTATGGATTATGATGATATTTGGTATGTTGGTAAGTCTTAGAAAGACAAAGGTCAAGGTCAAATATGGGCCTCCTGGTGGATGACCTTGGTACTGCAGCAGAACTTCCGGTTTTTGTATCTTTTGTCCTGAACATGCTATGGTCTTGACTTTTTGGTGATAGATAGCTTATCCTGTCAGGAATAAGTGGTGTGAGTTTGGTCCCCCCAGCAGCTTGTTCTGGAACTGCAGGGCACCTTCTGGTGGAACCTTTAAAAGCCAATAAGTCCAGATAGGAACAACGTATTTTCATCATTTTTGGTGTGTAGATAGCTAAGAGAGAGTTGTACATAATTAAATGCAAATCATGCAGATAAGGACTTAATTTGTATAATTAATGAGAAAATGCTATAATTACATTGTTTTATATAATAGTACTTTTATACACATAATCTATACATGTATCAACAGATACCAATTATGCAAATGGCCTAATTTGCATAATTAATGTGAAAATTCTGTGACTCCTTATTGGTGAAGGATGGGACTTTTATACCTTGTCACATGAGTAAGTTACTTAAAGGTTAACACCACTATGCATATATCATGTTAATTTGGAGGTCATTTGCATAATTAGTGAGGACATGATGAAAGGAAGTATGACAAAGTAGAGGAATTTTACTCGAAGAATATTGCCATTTCAATTTAGAAAATCACAAATTTAAGTAGATTATGCTAATTACGACCTCATTTCCATAGTTAATGAGACAAAAAAAACATTTACAAAAACTCATATATTTCATGGAGGTGTGAGATCTCCGAATTCTTGTTATAAGGTGCTTCATGAGAAAAAATTGCGCCACCTTTTTTTGCACCAGCATAATTGCACCATCTTTTTTTAACATACATTGATAAAAAAACTTTTTTGAGACATGATATTCGTTGTAATCTTCATTCTACTTGTGGTTAACACCTCTCGCAAATGTATTTTGGCAAAAAATGATAGGAGCTTGAATGAAGTTGACTAGGGTGCAGTTAATCAGGGTACATTCTACAGCATGTAATAGATTCAACTTACTTCAGCTCAGGCTGTATACAGCTTGGTGAACCACCCCACACACGAGAGACGTGTTCCAACACGGAACACGTTTTAAAATGTCTTCTCGATTTGCACAAAAACGTCTGAATATGACAGTAAGCCACCAGAAATACTACCGTAGTTGAACTCTCCTTCAGAAAATGTCCACCATATGCGACTCGGTCATCTTAGGCCATAACACATTTATTATACGTTAGGATGTGCTAAACAGCATTAGGGTCAACCTAACAACAATGGCAGGGAAAGACACGGATTTCATAACAATATTTTCTCACATGACTACTAGTATATACAATAAACTCTATACGTACCCTCCGCCTGGTCTAATGGACAGTCCCGTGATGACATCAGCAGCTAGCTGCACTTTTCAAGATGGCGGCTGTTGCGGCTGAGGATTCCGAGTTGGACGTCGACGCTCTGCGCAGGGAGGCAGAAACACTCCGGTCCCGTCTGGAGGAGGAACGAAGAAAATCGAACGACGTTCAACGTAAGCTGAGCTAGGAAAGGATACGTGTATTTATGAACAGCATCCTGTGTTTTTGTGTGTGGTACTTTTAGGGTTTTCTGCCAAAATGTCGTTGTTATTGAGCGAGATAGCCTGTAGCCATCCGGTAAATTTACTATGTAAATTTGTAGTCAATATCATAACATAACGATTTTGTTGCAAAATTAGACGATTGATAGATATTTTCTTCGGAGAAATATACAGCATACCTACATGTATATGCCTGTTGAGTGGGAGGATTATGTTGTTTTTATACAACTGATTACAGAAGAAAAAGGGCTGCCAAGTAGCTTATCAACGCAACGAATATACTGTTCAGCACCAAGGACAGGGAAATATGTTGTTCTTACCGCGAGTAGTTTCTAACACTGTTGCGTGCAAAATGGATTTAAAAAATGTGGTATTTCAGTTTTTTGTTGATAAAATTTGCCAGTTCAGGCTCAGATTGACCCACTCTCTGATGCAAAATTGGTTTTGTAATTCTCTGTTCAGTCACTTATATGTTGCATTATTTATTTGAGTTTAATTTTCCGCTATATTGATTTTAGTTTACATTTCTCTGTTATGTTGCATGTATAATTTTCTTAATGTTTCCCTGGACCGTCTTGGAAATCAGTGATTAATGTTGAATTGGGGCCATAAACCAGGTGTTATTTAAGATGAAATAAATAAACGAATAAATAAAATTCATATACGGTGTTATACATGTAAATCCGCCCTAAATAGCATACAGCAGCTAACACGTAAAGCAGCATTGATCAAATACACAAGTATCATATAGTTTTGCCGGCATCTGACATGTAAGCATCGAGTGTTGTTCTCTCATTAGCAAAACATGTTACACATCAGTTACAGGTACAACCCATCCAGTATGAGATGTGGCCTTTAGCTGGAACAGATGCTACTGTAAATCACTTGTTGGCAGTAGCAAAAATTTGCGGTCTGAGAAGAATGGATACAGGTATGTTTGCGGCAGAACTTAGCGGTGGCGGCAGGTGCAGCAAAAAGAAAGTCAGCAAATTATTTGTGTTTGAGTAAGAATAAACAGTGAAGTAGTTTGTTGGGCTAGACAAGGTGAAGGTAAACATTACTCATTTGCTTTGCAAATGTTACCTTGCTAGTATGTAGGTTTTTTGTTTCCTGTCCAGTGAGAGATGTTGCGAGTAAGCTGGAGCAGGTGCCCTCCTTGCAGATGAAGGTCAGACGAGTGCTGAAAGGTCACCAGGGCAAGGTGCTGGCCATGGACTGGTCAACAGACAAGAGACGACTGGTCAGCTCATCGCAGGTCAGGGGTCAAACTATGATTCAAATGGTGTGATCAAGGGCATTATACACTTTGTGTATAAAGTCCTTGGTGTGATAAACTGTGACATCAAAATGAAATTTGTTCTAATCAACTCAAAGAAATTTTGTGTCTTCATGTGTGTTACCTATCATTGTACATGTAACAATTTCTTACTATCAGAACTAATGCAAGTTTCTGTTCTGTAGGATGGGAAAGTTATAGTGTGGGATGCATTTGCAAACAAGCAGGTAAGGCATGTCAGAATATGTGCTTACTGTAATTTGTTTTAATATTCTCAGTAGGAAAAGTTTGCAGAACTTTATGCTCGAAGTGCATAAAAAAGAAAGGTGCAGATAAAGAAAGTGACTGTGAAAACTGGGAACATAAAAGAACCACAAAAATCATAAATTACAGTATATCAGAAATAACAAACATTTGTCCAGCTTTTACACCACTAAGTTAATAAGTTTTGTTCTATTCTTTTGTCAGGAGCGGGTTCTATCCATGCCCACCACATGGATCATGTCCTGTGCTTTTGCACCTACTGGTGATATAATAGCCTGTGGGTAAGTGTGTCTTCTATCACTCACAACATTGACTGTTGCTAAGTACTGTAAATTACCTTATGTTTGCGGCAGCAAAAGTTCACGGTCTGAGAAAAACAGAAATTTTCGCAAAAAAATGTTTGCAGAACTATATGTTCGCAGAAAAAAGAATCTCACCAAATTATTTGCTCAATGTACCAATATGTTACCAGTACAGAAGAGACTGTAAAAAATTGCAAAAATAAAAGTACCACAAAAAATTGTGATTTACAGTATCAATCATCAAAGGCAGGGAGCAGCCACGATAGCCAGAATTTCAGTTTCATTGATATTCTATGAATGGAGACTTCATTTGTGTCTTTCTTTCTGCTCCTACTTAAAATTGACATATGAAACTTCATCTTCATAGATGAAACCATGTTTAGCAACATTGTATAATGCAGTCATGCACCATTATGCTATTATATAATAATATTGCCTTCTGTTATACGTAGTTTTACTGCAGATACCATAGGTACTATAGATCTAAAAATATAGTAAATAATAAAAATTAACAGTGCCTTAAGTTAGAGGAAAGTACAACTTGAATGTAGTAAACCCATAACTATTCCCTAATAGCTGCTATATACTCTGTCGCATGTACAGGGGACTAGACAACAAGTGCACAGTGTTCCCGATAGATAAAGACATGGAGAACCCCGAGAGAAAGAAGAGAACCATCGCCATGCACACCAGCTACATGTCCTGCTGTAGGTTTGTCAAGTCTGACTACCAGGTAGGCAAAGACTGCCACTGACTCAGTCATTGCACACTGTTTTGTGAAGAAAATTAGTCACTTGGTAATGATATACGTGTTGTTCAGCACCAAGGACAGGGAAACTGATTGTCAGAAGACATCAGAAGTCACTGACTCAGTGGTTGCAGACTGTTTTGTTTTGTGAAGAAAATTTACCAATTGGTAACAATAAAAATGATGTTCAGCACCAAGGACAGGGAAACTGGTTGCTTACAAGACACCACAAGTGAGTTTTGTTTCTTACTGTGAAATGAATCAAGAGTGTGGCCTTTCATGGAAGTTTCCAAAATGTTCTATCTTGTATGTCCATTCAAAGCATCTTAGAGTGAATCCTTCATTATATCCCAGTGCCTGAGTTGTCAACCAAGTCAAGTCAAGTCAAAGCCTTTATTTTCCTTCGAATGCTTGTTTGGCACAAGGCCACTTTTCAACAAGGATTAAGGTGTTCAAAAACTCATGCTTTCCTAGAACTGTCGCAGCGTGGAACTCACTGTCACCAAGTACAGTAGGGGCATTATCATTAGATAGCTTTAAACAATGTCTAGAGTTAAATGTTCAAAGGTTAAGCGTAACAAGTCCTTCGGTGTAATATAGCCAGCTGCCGTCGCGCTGCGTGCCCGCAAAGCTGGTGTGTTACGCTAAAGGGCGATTATACCAGCTATACAGATACAAATTTCTTGACTATCATTTAACTACAACAAATGTCTGGAATTGTGTCTAGATCTTGACTTGCAGTGGAGACTGCACCTGTGCCCTGTGGGATGTGGACAGCTCCCAGCTCATGCAGAGTTTCCACGGACACATCAGTGATGTCCTCTGTCTGGACATCTCACCTGTGCACTGTCGCACCTTTCTGTCAGGGGTAAGGAAGGAAGAATGGACATAACATAACAAATGTAGAATATAACACTGTGTATTCCGTATCACCTGAGGTACCAACCCGTCTGTGGGTCAGATCGCCCGAAGACCAGAGGCGATCCGAAGACCGAATCCGGTATTCAAATTTTTGAAAGCAGCACACTCTGCGCAGATGGAATGGTTGAACCTCGAATTATTCTATGCAACATTTTGAAGCCCGTGTGCTAACCTAATAGGACCCCGGGCTGTACCGCTAGTTATCACATGGGCCGAAACACCTGTATCAAGCATTATCGCCGCCTATAACATAATATAATCTCATCAGGTTTAGAGGTTTTTGTACCAGCTTCTGTTGACTACTGACATGGACACAGAAAGTCTACAGAATGTCTACCAAGCTAATTCTACCAGGTCATATATGTCGGCCCAATAGAAAATACATTGAAAAAGATTTCTAATACAATGTCCCCCAGGTCTCTCAAACACATTGTTTTTCAAAGAGGCAGATACTCAGTGGATGAATCCAATCTGTTGCACAAGATGATAGATGATTTTAACTACACCCAAGTATAGCTTGAAACACGTGTTTAAGAAGAGATATTTGAACGTTTCAGAGCAGTGACAAGACTGCGAGTCTGTGGGACATCAGAACAGGCCGGTGTGTGCACAGCTTTGATGGCCACGATGGGGACATCAATGGTGTCAAGTACGTATTTCTGTTGTCTGTCTGATATTGCCAGGTGATGCTTTGCTTTAATACAGAAATATAGCAGATCGTGATATACATGTATATACATATAGAATACAACAGGGGGTATTCCGTATTGCCCAAGGTATTGGCCCGACCGCAATCCGACTCGCGGAAGGGCCGGGACCGAGGGTGATGCGGAATACACCGTGTTGTATTTTATTTATGTCATACCCACCCAAGAAAACACGCCTTTCAATGCAAGATGAGTCAAAAGTTGGTGCCACTAAACCCTAAAATGCAACAATCTCAATTCCAACGTCCAACGTTCTGTATTCGAATTTTCGAAAGGGGCACACGCGGTTAGGGCGAAATGCGTTCGAATTGTTTTATGGAAGCCATGGAAGTGCTCGATAACGGGTTCCGGATGGTACGGCCCGGTCCAGACCCCGTTATCGAACCTTATCGCGGCCCGGGTATGATATAAATCTATATATACATGTACATCTATATACAACGTACAATAGTCTTAACATGTCACTTGTGCCAAGGACATTATACACAGATAATGTCCTTGCTTGTGCTAATAGCCCAGTGGGCCAAAAATGTACAAGAAAGGTATTCATTCATTCACTCAATGTGATGGTATTGTAGACATGGAAATGTTGTAACTTAGTATAGCTGACAGTATCCATACTTAGGAAAAGATCACGTCATGACTATTACATTCTGCAAAAGCTAAAGTTCACGGATGGATGCTTTTTTTGTTGTTGTTACATTTGTAGCAGAAATTCTCTTCTTTGTGCTTTTAGGTTCTTTCCAACTGGAGAATCTTTTGTGACTGCTTCAGATGATGGCACAGTGAGTGTGTTTTTTTTTTATCAATTGTAATGTACTATGTCATGTATAATAGACATTTAATTCATTTTGTAATAAGATCAATAACTTTATGTGTTCATTGCTTCACTCAATGATGACCAGTTGTGTAGGAACTGACAGTGTTTGATTTTTGTCAGCTCAAACACTTTAAATTCATTTTCCAGTGTCGACTTTATGACTTGCGGGCAGACAGAGAAGTTGCCCTGTACACCAAGGACTGTATGATCTTTGCAGCCACATGTGTGGACATTTCAAAGAGTGGTGAGTTCTCAATTCATTCTTAGTATTTTTCTATTAGGCCACACCAAGTAAATTTTATGGATGACATCCGCGCGCGCATTGATTTTGGCCTGTTCCTAGAAAAAAAACAAGAAATTCCGCTTCCTGTAACTATGACCAACGAGTCACGACAGTGCCGCAAATCGTTAGATTGACGTGAAACCCGTAACGCGAAATGGGTAAAGAGCACATGCTTTGTTTCTGCAGGCCTGCAAAAATGTGAAAGAAACAGGTCAGGACAACAACTGCTGTTCCACCTGATTTATTGCTGTTTTGATTATGAATAAAAGACTTCTTGCTTGTTAATCTGTGTCACCTCATTCAATTTGTGTCCTAACATTTGTCGTCTCTTAGTATATTTCTAATCTAGGCATCTTGTTTTTTAGTGCCCTTCTTGTTTTTTTTTCGCCCTCTCGCATTAGATATAGGGTCTCCAAAGGACGTCATCCATAAAATTTACTTGGTGTGGCCTTACACAGTGCCACAGACATAAAACAGACTATGATCTGTCTATGGTTGAGGACAATGGAAACCTTAAGGAAAATTTTTTTTTTCAAATCACATTTTTGCAAAAGTAACAGTTACTGTGTTCAATATTACTCACGACTCAAAGCATCACTTGATGTTCGCGGTCTGAGGAAAATGGAATCATTCGCGGAACTTTAAGTTTGCGGTGACAGCAGGTGCAGCAAAAAGAAAGTCGGCAAACTATTTGCTCGCAGTAATGATAAGTTTGCAGTGCCGCAAAAACTGTGAAATTCAATCTAGAAGTACCGTGAAGAAAATCATGATTTACAGTATGTCTTACAGATAATTCACTTTATGTTCACGGTAGCAAAAGTTTGCAGTCTGCAAAAAATGGACTGTGATGATGTTTGCGGAACTTTGCGTTGGAGGAAAACTGTGTATATAAAATTAAAGTAACACAAAAAATTCTGCTCAGTTTCTTCTTCTTCTTTCTTTCAAAACAAATAAAGTCAAGACATCAGACCAGACCAGACATCTGTCACCATGCCATAGTTAAACTTTTCCTGTAGCAACACCCTGTGATATGGGGACTTACATGTCTGAACTTATTATGATTGAGCAGCGGAACAGGGTTGGGGATCATTTACTTTTCCTACTAGAATATCAGAATCTATTTGACTTTCAGTAAAAATAAACAGTGCGGAAGTTTGTTGGGCTAGGCCAGGTGAAGGTAAACATTATGCACTTGCTTAGCAAATGTTACCTTTTCCACTTTACAGTATGTCTTATTAACTTTTCCAGGTCGCCTGATGTTTGCTGGGTACAACGACTACACGGTGAATGTCTGGGACGTGCTGAAGTGTGTGCGGGTAGGACGGATCTACGCACACGACAACAAGGTCACGTGTCTGCAGAGGTCACCTGACGGGACCGCCGTCTGCTCGGGAAGCTGGGACACAACACTCAAGGTCAACTTAAACTCCTTAATTTTTTCCAAGTCCCTAAAGGCCCAGTTTAGACTGGGAACGGTATGCCATTCCGAAACCCTTTGAAACACTTCGCCACTGGTAAGCATTATTTTACATCTAGACACATATTTCTGAACACGGCACGTTTTCTGACCTGTTCAAATAATACACTTTCAAATTGATACTAACCATCTTGTGATGAAAATGTTGGGATAATACGAGCGACTGCCTTGACGTCACAGCCAGTGAGTGGTAGGCAAAAGCCGGGTTTTGCCTTCAATGATTTGCATAATTATGTTATAATTTGTCGAATAATTTATATGCTTACGATGTAAACGAGAACAGTGATCGCTCGCTTGTCATAATGAATTTCCACCTTATCTCTGTTAAGTTGTTGAAATAGGAGGATCTCCATTTGCAAAACCACTGCATGGTTGTTAAAGTTAGATGCAAGCATGGAAGTAGTATAATTGTAATTAGTCCTACTGTAACAGTGGGGTTCAAGCATTATTTGAATCCTGGGAGCCAGGAGACTGTATTGCTTGCCCCTTTGTGCACTACAACTTCAATTCAGTCTTTACTCACTTGATATTGTCATTAGTTCCCTAAGGCCCAGTTTAGACTGGGAAAGTATACCATTCCAAAACCCTTCAAAACACTTTACCACTGGTTTTTAGACACAGGTGTAGATCTCAAGTATAGCGGTCCACTGAAGTATAGTGTGGGGTACTGTGGGTCAAAATGATGGGAGAAGATAAGAGCCAATTATTTTGTCTATTACACATAATTGCGACACTCGTTCAATTGTTCTATACTGTTTGCTACCCGCATTTTCCTGCATTGAGACATCACATACTCACCCTAAATGACTTGTGTGTAATATCTGTTCTCCAGCTCTGGGCATGAAGACAACGGGGAGGCTTGGAAGAAGATTCTGTGAAGAAGCTCCCCAAATATGAGGACAAGATAAGATAAGTTTGTTTCCACATCAGATGTGACAAATAAATGAGACCAATGTAAGTCCTATTTAAAAGAGGAAATATTAGATGACATTAATCTGTCTAATTAATGTGACAAGTCAATGTTTGGAAAATACATGTATTCAGGGCAGAGTATTGCAGATTTCTCTGTGCCAATCACATTTTGTTGCCAATGAATCACATCAACCAAGAGATGTCAACATATGAACTACAACTTTAAGCTGCTGTGTTACGCTGAAAGGCGGTTATACCGGCCATACAGATACAGAACTTCCATAGACTAACAGTTTAAACAGGGATACTTGACAGTTATAAGGATTGTGGCTGTATAATGCCATACTTTACATGAATAGGATGTTTCCCTAAAGACATTTATGTGATGAGTCTGTATTATATGCTGCAGAATGAAGCAAGCTTTCTCATCTGTAATGTTATGTATCATAATTATAACATTGTATAATGTGCGTATAGTCACATTATTGTAAGTTACAATGTTGTGTGGCTGTGTAAATTTCTTGTCCAGTCATAGGGGTATACTATACTACTTTGGTAGGCAAACAAATCCAATATGTGCAATATATGATGATGTTTATAATAGGTAAAATTGACTAAGAGTAGTGATAGCTTATTAACTTTCCTGGTTATTTTTACGTCTTCTGACTATAGATGTGACAATGGAGTACTCTTCTCTCTATTCCTATGCACAGTTGTTATATGTACAGCACCTATGATCATGATCACACTCTACTACATATATTAAATAGAAATGTTTGTGAGCACCAAAATGGTAAAATGTATATTTTGTATGCTTACAGATAGAGATATTATTATACCTCTATGTGAATCACTTGCAATCACTTTTAAGAAAAAATTCACTTGTGTCTCCACTTCCAACTGTCTCGTCCAGGGCACGTTTTGCCACTAGCAAATCATCCTTTCTTCCTCCATACTCCATCTCTCAGAAGGAAGTTCCACGCTGAAAGCTTCTTTCCTAGAACTACATTTTGTACATCACTCAATGAAACAAGCTTCCTTGTGCATGATTGCTTCCCAAATGTATAACCTTAAAAAAACATCTGTCTTTACAGTCTCTTATACCCAAAACATGTGAGTGGTTCGTATGAGTCTTGTTTTGTTTTGTTTGAGGTGAAAACTGTAGTAAAAAAAAATCCCCTTTCAGCATCTGTAACTGGGGGACACAACAACACATCATCAGCTCTATATGGTGCCTTCCTTACACTTATGTTCACAATTGTTTTACCTCGCTCAACCTAACTCTATTACTTTTTTGAGAAGTGCGTTTGCCTTTTCGATGTCTCTTGTTTTCTCTGGCCAGTTGGCCTTGTACACTGCCAAAAGCTCGGTAGCAAATTCCAAAGCTTCTGAAAAGTCCCCTTCTCGACCACGTCTGATCAATCCTTCAGTGAGACCGAAGAGAGCGTCCGACAGAGGATAGTCCACCTTGCCCCTCCCCTTCTCGTGTTGGTAGGCTTTTCTGTACCATTCCAGGGCCTCGTCCAGATGTGTTGGGTTGTGGTCAGCAGCAAGGAAACGACCTACATGTACAGATAACAAATAAACATATGTACATGTGTGAGAATGTTAACTTAAAGGCATATATGGACAATAAATCTGAATGCTGGTACTGGATTTTGTAACAACAGGCACTTTTTTTGAGGGTACCGTTTTTGAAGTCACTTTTTGGCCAATTCAAATGGAAGAAAAAGTTGCCAAGGTTATAACTTGACAAACAAGTATCATTGAGAAATACATTGCAATAATTTTCAAGATCAACCCAAGACTTTTTAAGAGCCGCCACCAAAAATCCAAGACCATATCATGTTCAGGACAAAAGATAACAAAATGGAAGTTCTGCTGCAGTACGAAGGTCATCCACCAGGAGGCCCATATTTGACCTTGACCTTAGTCTTTCTACAACCTACCAACATACCAAATATCATCACAATCCATAAAGGCGTTCTAAAGTTATACTGAGTACAAATGTGCGGAAACACACACAGACAGACACAGAGACACACCAAAAACAATACCTCCATTTTTTCATGGAGGTAAAAAATAGTGTTACTTGAAACATACATGTACGTCAAGATAAATGTCACATCTACCTGCAGTGTTATAGAAGTTGGCCAGTCGCTCCAGTTGGTCTGTCACCTTCCCGTGTTCGTCTTTTCGAATCTCTCCCTCAGCATACTGGATCATCTCTCTGTTGTGGGGAAAATGGAGGCATACAGTGGTTAGTAGACATGAAAAGTAGAAGTACAGTACACATGCTTAGGATATGTTGATTTGTTTATATGGATGACATCCGAGCGTGCATGAGTTTCCGCCCAAGAAAAAGGTTTTCTACCATACTGTAAATCGTACAAAGCAACTGGAAAACGATACTAATGTCGTAGAATGCCAAATATCAATTCCAAAGGAAGATTAGAAAAAGTGAAGAAAATGAAAATGAAGAGTCTTTTATTACTCATTTGTTCAATCTTCATGACCACGTAGAATTCATAATGAAGGCAACTTTTTTTTGCCAAACTCTTTTTATTTGCACGCTCGCGTCAGTTTTGGTGTTCCCAGAGGATGTCATCCATATAATCAAATCAACGTGGCCTTAGTGTTTTAGCGTAGAATCTAAAAAATGTCCATATATCTGACGGCAAATGATAAAAAGAGCTCTGTACCTGCAGTGTTGCTGTGCCTGTTCAAAGTAGACAGCCTTCTCTTCCTCAGTGTCCGCAAGCTCAATAAGCTGGTTATAACACCGGACTAACTGGCGATGGCACATCATCATGCTGTAATAATCGGCAGATGAATTATATGAGAGGTTTTATGTATTTATGTTTACCAAAGAAAATAAAACATTGTTTTTGCTCAGTTCCTTCATCTTCTTCTCCAAACCAAAAAGGTTAATGAATGGCCTGAACCAGACCGTCTGTCGCCACGGTAACTAGTGTTGGGTTACATAATGTTGCAATTTTATAGTAGGATGGATTTAGACTCCTGTCACCATATATATGAATGTGTTTGAGCAAGAATATTAACAAAGCAGACCATATGCGAAGGTAAACATTATGCATTTGCTTTGCAAGTGTTACGTTTCTAGTTACGTATTGAATTTTCCAGTATTTCCTTCAATTAACTTGTAATATAACCAGCCCTTACATTACAGATTCAAAGACGATCCATTTTCACAGAATCATGTCTTTTGAAAGCCTTACCTGTACAACTCTCTTCCGGACTTTTTGAGCATTCCGACTTCGAAGTAATCGTCTTGGTCTTGAAGAAGAGCACTGTATCTCTCCCTGGCATACAGGATATCTTCCTTCAGGTGTTTTGCATCCTGAGCAGAAGAAGAATTTTTGTTTGCTCATCAAGGATAACATTTACCGATGATATAAAGTTTATTGCAAATTCCTGCCCGAGGGCTACTTGCAAATAACAAGGACAAAAGAACATTGAAAGAGTACAAAATAACTACGAAATCTACCTAATAAAGGGTAATTTCCTTAAACTCTGGTCAAAACATATTAAAGAAGCACAATAACGAAATACGTCGCCAAAAAAAAATAATCAAGCAACTGGATATGATTTTGGAAACGGTCAGACGTTTCAGGTAGCATCCACTACTTTTCGTCAGTGACACTGGATCCATGGAGAACTTTTAAAATGTTAATTTTACTTCTATGCGGGTACCTTGCCTTCCTCCTCTAAGCGTAGATACAACAGGGCATTGCGTTCAGTCAGGTACTGGTGTAAGACAGAAACGTCTGTCCTTCTGTGGATTTCCTTGGCCAGATTGTACGCCACTTCCATACACTTCACTGTGGAGAAATACATGGCATAATGAGAGGAATACTTCAATGCAGAACGTGACGGTTACGGGGTGGGCCTCCTTGCAGCCAAAATTGTGAGAAGCTTACAATTATCAGGGCTTAATCGCAAGGGTCTGGAGCGGTTGCCATTCAGTGCTAGCTCGGGTGACTTCAATACGACCCCAGGTGCGGCCGTAAGGTTTGAACCACTCACAAACTTTTTAAACGTGCGTGGGGTCTGGCTCTCCCCAAACACGGGACCTCCATTTCCGTCCTTTTCGAGTATTAAGGAGTTCACAAACAAAAGAAACAAAGTGTTAACAACCCATCACCCTAACTGGTACATTTTGTGTACATGCATTTGTGTACATGCACACAATGCTTCCGAATGTGTGCACTAAGAACGCACCTAAGTCTTGTTTCCCTTCTTGGTCCGTTCTGTACTTTTCTTTTGAGTAGAAATAACAACGTCCCAGAGAGTAGTTGATGGAGACGTGTAGTTCAGGTAGGTAGACCTCCTTTAGTCTGTCCGGGGGTAGGAGGAGCCCGTGCCGCACCAGCAGGTCCAGCTGTGCGGGGGAGAGATGCTGCTTGTCCCCGAGGGTCTGAACGAGATCGCCTTCCGTTGGCAACTTGCGTCTGAACAGCTGCAATCAGGAGGAGAAATGCAAGATGAATTATACTATCATAAAAGTTCATCCGTGTTGGCCGTTACATGTTTAATGTTAAGACTTTTGATCCAACATCAAAGAATGGTTCTCACCTAGAGCTTTCGACAAGTCACTCTGGTCTTCTTCAATAGACTAACCCAGTGAGTCTTGTCTACTGAGGAAGACCAGAGTGACCTTGTTGGATCAAAAGTTTAACATTAATTAAACAAGATGAATTATGTTTAAATGTATGTTATTATATTATGTAATGTCATCTGTACATTTGTTATTTCATAGGTGTGTTTTACTTGTTCATGGCTCATTCTGAACAAATTCTAAATACCGAGAATTGATAATGTACCAACCAAACATCATTGATACACCCCTCTGTTTCCCTATATTTACACTGTTTCCAGGATTGAAAGTCAGTGTCTATATGTGAATAAATAAAGATCTATATGTCAGCATCTACCTCGATGTCTTGATCCACTAAGACTTTACTCTGTAGAATCTGAGAGTACACGCTGTCCGAGAGGTTCTGTCCGGCGAGGGTCAGTTTTTCAAACAGCAGCTGGGTGTCCTGGTTAACCTCGTCCCCATCGGCCTCTCTGGTAAGTTGACCCTGGACTGTTTCACTGGATTCTTGTAATGTCACCTCCGCTAGGTCCTCTAGAAGTTTCTGCAGTGTGTAAGGTTGTTAGAAAGCTTGGTACTAATACCTGTCCTTGGTGCTGAAGTGAAACTGTTCTGCTTCATGGATATGGAAAAATTACGCTCATTATCTGGATTTTTAGTCCCTCTGGCTAGTTGATCCTGAACTGTTTCACTGGATTCCTGTAACGCCTCCTCTGCTAGGTCCTCTAGAAGTTTCTGCGGTGTATAAGATTGTTATTAAGCTTGTCAGTACCTGTCCTTGGTGCTGAAACTGTTCTACTGCGTGGAAAAATTACGCTCATTATCTGGCTTTTTACAGTCTCTCCGGCCAGTTGATCCCGAACTATTTTACTGGATTCCTGTAACGTCTACTCGGCTAGGTCCTCCAGGAGTTTCTGCAGTGCGTAAGATTGTTAGAAAGCTTGTCAGTACCTGTCCTTGGTGCTGAAATGAAACCATTCTGCTTTGTGGAAAAATTACGCTCATAAGCTGTTTTTAGTCTCTCTGGTGAGTTGACCCTACCATGTTTCACTGGATTCTTGTAACGCCTCCTCTGCTGGGTTCTCCAGAAGTTTTTGTAGTGTATAAGATTGTTATGAAGTTTGTCAGTACCTGTCGGTGCTGAAGTGAACTGTTTTATAGCTAATTGATGGAAAAATTACGCTCATAATCTGTTTTTTGTCCAGTCTCTCTGGTGAGTTAATCCTGCAATGTTTCACTGTTTAAGTCACCTCCACTAGGTCTTCCAAAAGTTTCTGCAGTGCGTAAGACTGTTAGAAAGCTTGTCAGTGCCTGTCCTTGGTGCTGAAGTGAAACTGGTCTACTTCATGGAAAAATTACGCTCATTTTCATCATTTTTCGGACTCTCTGGTCAGTTGGTTCTCAACTGTTTCACTGGATTCCTGTAATGTCACCGCCGCTGGGTCTCCCAGGAGTTTCTGCGGTGCGTAGGATTGTTAGAAAGCTTAAGCTTGTCCTTACCTGTCCTTGGTGCTGAAGTGAAACTTATCTGCTTCATCGAAAAATTACGCTCATTATCTGGCTACTGCTCTGTTTATTCTCACTCAAACACACTCATATTTAACCCTGTCTTGCTATGTAATGTAACCCAACACCACAGGACGTCTGCAGCAGTTATAATTACAACGGAGGCATACGTTTGATCCAGGTCATTGACTTTATTTGTTTTCCTTCTGCGGATGTAAACATAAACTAGAAAGGCCAATATTTGCTTTGGAGCAAATACAGCGATGGGTTCACCACATTTTACGACATGGCAGGGAAAGAATGAGAAACACAAGGGAAAACAATGATTTACATTGATATAACTATAATATGAAGTAAAATACAACTAAAACAACAGTTGGATAGCTATTCCCTACTTTATTGGTTAGGATTTTTAATTGCATAATGCAAACTGTTGATTTTCAAAAAAAAAAAAACGTCCATGCCCCGCATTCCAATGCTGGAGCAGGAAAGCTTGAAATACCTACCAAAACACTTGAATACAGACATACTGTCAGTATGGAAATGATCTGTGCAGGTGTTAATCAAGTTAAATCCCAACAGCCAATCAGCAAGAAGTATAGAGGAAAGCTGCATGCCTATCGGTTGATGCCCTGCATTCCATTGTGATGACTCATGCCCAAACGTGGTAAACAAGGCACACTAACACAGTAATACATTTGCTATAACACAGCCAAAAAACTCAAATAAAACCATTCTAAAAGCCTGTATCACAATAATTTAAAAAACGCCTAGGGGTATTTGCCCACTGTACCTCCATACCAAATTTCAGGACCTTAGGCCCTAAAATGAAGAAGCTAAATCCATTTAAAAAATGGCAGGAGGAGAAGGAGGAGAAGAAGAAGAAGAAGAAACATCAGAAAAAGCAATATGGTTTCACCACACCACTTCGTGGTGTGGTGAACCCATAATAAAGTAAAACATAGAATCACATAACAATACCAAAAATGATAATCAAGACTTACCTTTGCGATCCTGAGAGGGCCTTCCGCTTTTGCGGCCATGCCTCTCTGTGTGTACAGGAACCCCAGCACCTCGTACAGACGAGCCCGGGTCAGGCGGTGGTCGTCCCTGCTGATCCGGCTGGCGTGGGACAGTACAGTCTCCACGTGAGGCATCAGACTGTAACTTAACTGTCCTGAACTGAGGAAGGAAAGGCAGCAAAACATATTGAAGACGTATTGTATAGATCAACGTACATCTGCTCCATACACATATCTATCAAATTTGTACATCAACGAACGACTTTATATGTTAGCATGAAAGTTCATCTGTGTTGGTAAGTCATTATCAAATAAAGACTAAACTTTAACTACCAACACTACAATGAATTGGGACTTACTCCACTTTATAAGTCCCAATTCACTATTGTGTTGGCAGTTAAAGTTTTTATTTCATAATTACTTTATGTTATCATCTTAAAACAATATCCTCCTTTTTGACATAAGCAACACCACTGGCAACATCCTATGCTCAAAAAGTATCAGGGGCAACTCTTCTTTGTCATTTGTGAACGATTGTTAAATCTTTGGTGTGGTTTTCAACTTTATTTTACAGATTGGTCATTTTATTCGACTTGTTATGATTCGTACACCAGCGTATTTTGTACTTCTTTGTTGTCTTTGTATTGTTATTTGTACCTTGTTTTTGTTTTTTGTAGATGTTACTTTTTCATCTGTATGTGTGTGGAGAGAAGGCCTCGATAAGCAATGTATATTTTAGTCCTACACTTGGAGCGAATAGAATAAAATCAATCTCTCACACAAAACTAAATTATCGAGGTACCCTATTTAAGGAAAGTACAGAGATATGTGTTCTCTTACCTGGAATACCGGTTGTCCTTCACAAAGTACGTGAGAAGGATGTTCAGAAGCCGGTGGACGACTTCTTTTTCTTCCTCCTCGGTCATGGCCAGCTGCATCGATGTCTGTGTCACCTGCGTTGTACAAACAAAACAATGCGGAGGTAAGTACGGAGATATAACTAGTGTCTGTGATGCACACAATGTACGATTCAAAAGTATACGAAATACTATATACCTACCAGAAAACAGCTTTGAAGACTCATCAAAGTTCATCTGTGTTTGTTACTTACATTTTCAAAGGTAAAACTTTTGTTCCAACACATGGGTAAAATGTTCTCACGTAAAGCGTTGAACCAGTGTTGACGTCACACTTCAGAGATGCCACGTGGCATCACAAGTGTCACTGGGTCAGTCTATACTGATGGGGAAGACCAGAGTGACAGGTCGAAAGCTCTAGGTGAGAGCACTTACCTTTTTGTGTCGGTGCAAAAGTTTTGCCTTTAAACTCCTTTAATTGTAGACTGTTTTATGTACCTAAATTGTACATTAACCAGTTGATAGACAACACCGAGCTTGACAGAAAAACTGATGGTTGAAATGAACGATAGGAAGAGACGGAAAACCCTCATTGGAGCCGAGGGAATCAAGTGAGTGATAGTGAGTGAAGATGTTTCTGAACTCCAAAAGTAAACCAGCTCACCCGATGCAGAGAAAGAACCCTGTTTTCCCCGTCGCCCTCCACTGTGGCCAGAGACAGACTTTCCGCCTCGCGCTCCAGGGCGTCTGCTCTTTCCTGGCGCATGTGCGGCGTGCCCGCGTCTTCCGTCAGCACCAGCAGCGGTATGTTGGTATTCTCCATGAAGGCTGCGAGCTTCAACATGGAAACAACCTACATGGGGCGAAGACAAGTAAGAACACCAAATCGTAAACATTCTATCTGTTAATGAAAGATGGTTTTATGAAGAAAGTAAGATCAGGACTATACCTTCTGTACCTACCTGATAAAATTGTACACTAGAATCATTTTGCCTCATATTCTTTCATACGTCCTTTAATAAAATGCTGACAGACGTCGTGTCTTAAATGTTGCATGTTCAGTTTAAAATCATATTACAGTTCATCGCGTCATCAGTAACGGTTACTTTCGTTCTTTTGGATGGTAAAGGAGACTGCACATGTAGAAAACAAGCGAGCAATAAGCAACGTCGGTGACATCCAGGTAATAAAATACGCCAAAAAGCAATTACTCAAGTAACTTTATTCAGTACTACTGGCTTTTTAGACTAGCAAAAGTTTGTCTTCACTTTCTTTGCATATCAATTAATAGTTAAAGTTCGTGGTTATAGACCTGTAGATCTTGAAATCTCACCAGTGTCACTGACGAAAGGTAGTGGATGCTACCTGACACGTCTGACCGTTTCCCAAAATCATATCCAGTTGCTTGAGTACTAGTAACTGTTTTTTTTTGTGTGTGTAGCAATAAGCAAGTAGCAGAGAACGAATGCTCACGCTTGGACTCAGTTTGTCCACCGCCATCCGGATCGCAGCGAACAGGTTCAGCAGTTTGATGGCTCCGTCTTTCGTGCCAGGCTTTTCGTAGTACCGCCCGATCCACCTGGTGAGTGGGAACGTTCAACAACTGGTCAGGCAACTTCCAAACATGCCCTCGAAAGACATCGAACAGAATCGTATTGTCATATAGAAATATAGATTGCCATAACATAAGACTCAACACAGGGAAGATCCTTCTATTTTAAGATAGGCCATGTCGACTTGATCATGCGGATGACATCCTCCAGGAACCGCAAAACTGATGCGAGCGTGCAAATAAAAAAAAAAAAAACTTTGCCCGCACCCCCCCAAAAAAGTTGCCTTCATTATGAAATCTACGTGTTCATGAAGATTGTTGAACAAATGATTCAACACACAATGTATGGTATGGCGAATAATAGACTCTTCATTTTCATTTCTTCAAATTTTTCTCTTTTCTTTGGAATTGATTTTGGTATTCTACGATATTATAATCGCTTTCCAATATTTTCTTGCAATTTACGGCATATACAGTTCTTGCTCATTTTGCAGCCGCTTTGTAGGATTAACAGTATGGTCGAAAACTTTTTTCGAAACGAAAATTCATTCGCGCGCGGATGCCATCCATATAATCAAATCAGCATGGACTTATTATGTAATATCGTTATCAAAATTAAACATGATGATAGAACCTGCTTTCTTCCTCTTCAATCCTGCTGACGGCGGCTTTCTCGTCCAGTAAGTGTAGGTAGGCCCTCGGGCTGATTCGGCACCTCGCCATGTAGCCTCGGGATGCAGCCAGACCCAGGGGCAGTCCGTCAAACTTGTCAACCAACGTCAACACCTCTGCTCTGTCAAAACCCTGAAGATGATGATGAAATCATGAAGTACGTTTTGCTATGATTCGAGGTGCTGATTACGCATCATATGTCATGTACAAAAAATAAGGAATGTTACATTAAAATTTTGCAATAACTACTTATCTATTTATATGTTCATTTCGTCTTTGAGACATCTGGGTAGCTTCTAGAGCTACATGAGCTGATTTCCAAGTGAGTAAAACATAATACAATCGTATGGAAACATTTTAGATAAGTAACAAAGTAGATTGCAAGATGTGTGCAGAAATTAACCAAACCGAAAACATGATGAGGACGAATAATACAACACAGTGTAACTTAATAAATAATGTAATGTAATGTACTGTATTGTACTAACTAACAACAACACCTTTTACATCCATTGCTACTAGAAGTCAACCAAGTTGCTACAACGCCAAATATTGTACTTGAACAAGAACATCTAAGAATGTTTAGGACAAAAAAGAAGAAAAATTAGAAGGCAATCATTTGACGTCTAAGTCGACAAACATACCTGTGCCTGCGACTCTTGGTTGAAGAAACTGAAGGCCTCTTCTCTGTTGAACCCATTCACAAGGATGACTTCCGGTCCCATGATGCTCCCCTTCAGTAACTTCCGGTTGTGTGTGGTGATGACGACGTGACAGCGAGGCTGGGACTTGAGTAAAAATGGCGGCAGCCTTTCTTCTTCGTCGAGGTCGTCAATCAAAACAAACATGGGGACCTTCAGTTGTCTTATAGCCTGTTGGTTCGGCGATAATAAACATGTCTTTTAGAACTTTAAATTTGAATCTTACACAATATTATATCATAGTAATCGCCAGTCAGCTGCAATGCTATCACAAAGTGCGTCGGTAAAAGTTAGAAATCCAGGTAATAAGATACGCCAAAAACAGTTACTCAATCAACTGGATATGATTTTGGAAGCAGTCAGACGTTTCAGATAGCATGCACTACCGTTCGTCAATGACACTAGAGACTTCAGGAGAATGGCAGGTTTACGAAAGGTAGTGGATGCTACCTGAAGCGTCTGACCGTTTCCAAAATCATATCCAGCTGCTTGAGGAACTGTTTTTGGCTCCTCGCAAAGTGGTTTTATGCATTAGCCGTTGCTGCTGTTCTATATCTTTATACTTTATACTTCTACTAAAGAACCCATCAACATTTTGAGCGAGGGGCACAACACGACGTACATGTTTTTTGTCCGTATGTTGCTGTTTTTTTAAGCTACCTTGTCGTGAATATGGCACCCCCGTTCTACATGTTCGAATCATCCACGATGTCCACCGTTTGTGACGTCTCTCTGTCTCCCAGCGATCTTTGGAACAACAACGTTCCACTGGCCACATTTCCCTGACAAACGTCGTCCTAATCAGACGCCATGTGGGAAACTATCGTACATATACTGAGCTGTTGCTCGATGATCAAAACCAATAAAGTCACACCAGCTGGAGAAAGAGATGATGATGGACCGAGGGAGTCAGATGAGCCTCAGGACATGTCTATGGACAGGGGGAATGACGGTAAGTAACGTGGATCGAGGACTTTTGCGGTGAACCCTCCGGAATCTGATATAGTAACCCTTGAATTCTGCACCGCCTCTCACCGCGCTCACCGCGTTACCGGATGGTAATTACAACAGGACACTTCATGAGTGTAATACCGCCAAAGATAAACACAATAGCTTTTGCCATTCATGTCTTTTTAACTCTATCGGCATAACCAAGTCTATTGATACCACTTTTCTCTTGACTTCGCTGCTCCATGACCGACAGTGCATGCCGCTTAACCGTACTTCGGTTTATTCCAGAAGTATTCCTCGTGCCAGTAGTGCAGGCTCCGCTGTCCCAAGCCAGGTCTACCAAGTCGTCGGACGACGTACTAGCCGACCTGCGACAGGCGGGAGTAATCCCAATCAAATGCCAGCCGACCTCCGTGGCCTTTGAGGTGGCGGACCCGAAGACCGCCTCAGCGTTCGAGTCGAAAAGCGCGCCCCCGCGCCGCCCAGTCAGGCTGGAGAAGTTAGATCGCAAAATGGAGGAGAGGCGGGAGATGGTGAAGAAGAGAATCGCCGGAACTACCAACGAACTGAGGACGCAGTTGAATGAGGCAGACGAGCGGAGACGGGTAAGTTTATCTTTTAATATATGTTGCAAAAATAACGTAAAAAGAAGTACGTAAATGAGTGGAAAGCTAGATGGAAGGATTGACAGACCAATGCAAGAACAATAGGAAACGAAACTTTGAGACAAGTACTCATCATTAATATTCACCTAGGACATTCTTGCCAAGAGATCCCGGAAATTAGCCAACCAGGCTGCTAGGAAGGCAGCAAAGAAGCCATGTGATGCAAAGTCAACCGCTTTCTTCATCAAACCGACAATGAGCGAGTCGGATGCGATAGCTACACGCGAGAGCAAGAAGAGGAGGCGTATGGAGGCCCGCATGGAGAAGCGTCGGGCCCGAGTGGCGAAGACGGCCACAGCGGAGGCACTGGAGGCACGTCAGGCAGATGCCGCGGAGAGACGCCAGGTACATACTAGAATTATTTTCTGCCTGTGAAAAACATAACCCCTACGTCCTATCGTCCTTGGGTGTTAAAGACAAACACAGAACAGACAGTATATCCGACAAATAATACACGGAATAAAAGCGTAAAGAGATGTTCACAATTTTACATCGATATCGCACTACCAAAGGGCTGTGGCTGGCCTATGTGACATGACTGTACTCCTGTTTCTCCTCCATACAGGAGAAGGTGCGAGCCACCGTGGACAAGGCCAAGCGTTTCGGCCGCCCCGCCAGCCCCGTGTGGATGGAGCCACCAGGCCGCCCCGCCAGCCCCGTGTGGATGGAGCCAGCAGGCCGCCCCGCCAGCCCCGTGTGGATGGAGCCAGCAGGTAAACTCGGCAAGGAGGAGCGCCGGGAGACGCACGAGAAGGGAGCGTAAAAAAAACTGCGTCACATACAAGAGACCACAACCACCGACCTGTTCACCTTTTCTGAGACACTCGAAGAGCAGCAATAGAAGCTGTGGAACATTGTGAACTACTACCTTACTATGGTTTGATCATGCATGAACTATAGGTGGTCTTTTCTGAACATACTTTATCTTTAGGCGTGACAAATCGAACAGATCGTGCCAACGTTAAAGGCATTTCCCTAACGCTAAAGCAAAAAAAAAGTTCAGTGCCATATATATATGTATACTTTTTTGTTTATTATACTATACTTCAAAAATGAAGGAAAAAAAGGTTATCATTAAAGTTGTTAGAAATATTTTCCAGAGCGACATGTTCTGCCCAGAATGTAATGTTTTACCAGGTATCCAGCTGTAACGTTAACTCGATCCTTGTCATGGGCTTGTTTGTACGTATACTACAAAACCGATTTTGTAAAGCAAAAAAAGAAAAAGAAAATAATAAATTGATAAATATTAAAAAAAAAACGCATCATTTCCCAGGTCGAAATGGTACAGTATTGTCACCCACTGAGAAGTTACTTAATCATTAACCAGGCATATTCAGTACCTCTCTTTTTTAACTCCATGCAGTACCCAAAGGCGCATACCAAAAGTTTCGACCTATACTACATTAGTTCTAGAACACGAGTCGTTTGTCTCTGCTTTCAGCATACATGTTGTACTTCATGTCTTATACAGCTGCTAATCAATTCTATGTTACAAACGTTTACAAAACTATGTTTGTTGTTAGAAATGAAAACTTTCCAAATACATTAACCAAGACAGGTGAATAAAGTTTTGAGGTTCTGAGAGGACACTTCAACCGTTCATTCCTTGAATTCTTTTCGTTCTTTCTATCCTCCTTTCTTTCCTGCTTAATGCAGGCTGGGAGGTCTGTGTTGGTACCCACAGTGAGTACCACCTCCGTACGGAGTCAAAGATTTGGGAGCACGCAGACACGCCGTAGCACTTTAAGTGCCTGTAAAACTCTCTCTGCGTGCGGGCGGATTCACCCACCGTACGAGCTAGTACGCGCGTGCCCTGTACGTACCGGTACGCACCGTACGTAAGCAGCTCGTGTAAGTACGGCCTGCATACGGTAAAGTGGCAATCGCTCAGAGATCGTACGTTGTAAGTTCGTACAACTCACCAACCACTTGCGCAACGAACGATGCACGCAACCGCTCACGGCCAGACGTGGCGTGCAGACCACATACTTACACCTTGCGCAACCGTGAGAGTGACGTGCGGTGACGTACTGCTCAAGCCAGTCCTTCCCTGCAGACGTGGCCTCCCCCCCTCAATAAAACGTACGAACAAAAAGCACGCGCACGGCGGGTTGTGACCGAGGCTTAAGTTTGGAGAACACATATTAAACAAGACTCAAACTACAAGTTAATGAATTGCAAACATCGTTCGAAAGCAAAAGAGGAACATGTCCTTTTACTTTCGAAAACAGTTGGCGGTCCAGCAGTTATAGGGACTGAGTCTGTAACACCTTGGACGCTTTTTCTATGACTTAACTTTTCTTCAACTACACGCTTTATAGCTAGACTTAATGTATCTACAAAGAAAAACCAGATGGGCTTGAATAAAGTTTTCTAACATGTGGCCCCATCGTCTTCTTCGAGGGTAAGAGTGCCAGCGTGTATGGTTCACTTGAGCTCTGTGTCTCTCCTATTTCCTAAACAAACAAAAATCAGCCTACATCCCACGCAAGTGAATGTTTAGAATGCAATGGAGTAAAAATGAAAATGTACTGGGCATAAAGGAAATGTCAAATGGCCCTTTTGAGTTTCCAGGTATGAAATAAAAAGTTTGTTTCACATTTACGTTTTCTATCGCGGTGTCCTCTTCCTCTCCTTCCTTTCCAGTCTGCCCAGTCAGGCATCGGAGAAGCCCCGCCTTGGTCTTCGCCATGCTGTCTGCACTGCTGGCGTCCAACCTACGGCGAAAATCATCACTTTTGTCAAGATACAAAAGATTAGACTAGAAAAAATACAGGGGCTTTCGTATGGTCTACTATTATATATAAATGGTTTGTTGGTCAAAAATAACCCGTGCAATCGCAGCCTTTTGTAGCGCTGAATTGATGCAGGGTTTACAATCACATAATACACATGATACATATAACATAGTTGTTCCACACATTTTTGTGGAACTGTCGCAAGGGTCTGTGCGGCTGCCATTTGGCGCCACAAAGTGACCTCAATACGACTTTCCCCAACCAAAGTTAGGTCCCCATTCACACCTGGGTGAAGTGAGGAAAGTTGCGTAAAGTGCCGGCGCCTTTCCCAAGGGCACAACGTTGGGGCGGGGTACAACTCGGGATCGAAGCCGGGTCTCGCCGTTTCATAGTCGAGCGCTCTACCACTACGCCACCCGACGCCACACTACAGCGAACAAAACTAAATCCTACGTACAGAAAATGCATGTGCATGTGCATGTGTATGCGGCAACTTGACGACGTACGGAATACATGTCAGCGGCAAATTTTACTATTCTCAGGCCGATCGGAAATAGGCCAAGGACGTAACGTATTACAGGGTGTGCTTCTGTATAAAACTAAGCGATACAAAATCGCGTGTTCTGGTTATAATTTGTTCAGTCGACCTCTAACTGTATAAAACATACCAACTTGTGGCGTTTCTAGAATTATAACACGGGTACGTAGATAAAGACAAGGTCATATAAGCTTGTTCAGTCATTTTTTCTCTTATATAACAAGGGAAAAGTATGATCTGATATTTGCCCAATGCCCCATAACTATAAAGCTACATACATCTACAAGAAAACGTTTCAAGTATAATGTCCTTGACTGATATACATAATGATACATGTAGATGCAAAAGGCAGTCTTCGTGCAAAAGCGTATGTTGTGTCCTTCACGGAAAGCGTATATTGTAATATTCACTAACATCAGCAATTGACAAATATGAATGCAATAGCATTTTCTCCACGTATATGCTACTAAACTTCTATATCTTTTCTTGGGCTGATTCGGTCATTAAGCTGATGCTTTACATCGGTATCAGCAACAAGGCAAAGATATTTGTATATTTGCAAAACTAAGAAGTATCATTATTGCAGATTTAGTACATGTAAGAACGAGGTGCACACAACATTCAATTCACAACGTAGAAAGGCATCAGACATTTCAACGCCATAACAATTCCACTGCCTTTTCGAAAAGTTAGCACATCTTGTCTCAACGCCATATTCTGCAGTTATTTTTTAAATATTCATAGACATGAGGCTCCGTTGATTTTTATTATACGATTGACATCCGCGCGCGCATGAATTTTCGTCCGTTTTCAAAAAAAGTTTTCAACCATACTGTAAATCGTACAAAGCAGTTGCAGCAGAGCAAATATATGCCGTAAATTAAAAAAAATAGGAAAACGATACTAATGTCGTAGAATGCCAATATGAATTCCAAAGAAAAAGAAGAAGATGTGAAAAAAAATGAATAGTGTAGAATATAGAATATATTTAGTCATTTGTTCAACCTTCATGACCACGTAGATTTCATACTGAAGACAAATTTTTGTTTAATGAAGACAAACTTTCGCACGCACGCATCAGTTCTGGGATTCCCAGAGGATGTCATCGATATAATCAAATCAACATGGCGTAACTTTGATGAGGACTACTACTGAACCTGTAAAATAAGTTTCAGCGGTCGTGTGCTCGACCCGGAACCAAGAGGTCCTGACAGGCCACCGACCGATCTTGTACCCTTGGGAAATTTAAGGCACTTAACACGACTTTCTTCACTTAGCTCAAGTGAAAATGAGTATTGTCCTGTCCTGTCCTGTCTTGTATTTGTCCTTTGCGTTTGTGGCGGCATAAAATAAGTTGAAAAAACTTGAGTGTGTCGAAATGTTGGAATAAACAAAAGCCTTACCTCCACAGTATAGCGTCCCCGTGCCGTAGCTTGAACTCCGCCGCCAGCCAGAGCGCCAACTGCGTCTTCCCGGACCCGCAGATTCCCAGCAGAATCGTGAGCGAGGATTCCCGTTCCAGTTTCTCCCTCAGCTGCTCGCAGACTGCCGTGTGTAAGAAGTGAGGAGTCGGCTCGCTCATGTTAGTCGGTCGGGGCGCGATTTCGGGCCGAGCGCTCGTCGCCATTTTGGACTATTAAAGTGCGGTCTAAAGACGTGACCGTTACCTGAAAACGCACGTACGAAAAGTTAGCACAACACTTTGTTTTCTTCTTATTTTTTCACACATATAGTATACATATAATAATCAAAGAATAAAGGGGAAAAGTAGAAAGCCTAGAGGGCTTATATAGAGCCCACCTCCTTCAGAATTAACAAATAATAATCATGAAACTATTGTAATAATTAAAAAGAATTAACAGCAACAAATACATTGCAAAGAAAACTAATGCATATACTTAGATGCTATAACAAAGCACTTGTCCATATGTATCAACATTGGGAAAATAAGATTGTTTGCAAGAAACGACGACATACGTACATGTATGCCCTGCTCAATTTGCTTGGTGGTTATAAATAGTCAAGCGACATTCGGTCGTGCCAGTGGCTACGGTGAATAAGTCTCCACCAGGCTCCTTTGCAGGCTGAATAAATAGTAGCAATCGGCCTAAATATATTTGGCCAGAGAAGTTTGCCGGCCATATATAGGGGATCCAGTTTGCCTGCAAACTGGACCCTCTATGGCCAAGGAGTCTGGTGTAGACTAACGGTGAATACAAGTCATCTCACATACTGCATTATGTCGACAACGTGCAACACCACACAAATCCATGCATCTATATCTCATCTTAATTCATGATATGATTTTATGATGTGTGAAAGCCCAAGGACATCTCGATCTTACAAAGGTCGAAAGGCGATTACGTTAAAAATAATAAAACTTAAATATCAACTAATTAATTCTTTGTTCTCAAACCGAAATAGTGGGGTCGTGTGGCATAGCGGCAGTGTACGCGACTCGGAACTTAGAGTCCCGGGTTCGAGTCCTGACATGCCACCGATCTTGTGCCCTTGGGAAAGGCACTTTACACGGCTTTCCTCACTTAGCTCAGGTGTAAATGAGTATTGTCCTGTCATGTATTTGTCCCCTGTGTTGGTGGCGGCATTAATATAAGTTGAAAAAACTTGAGTGTGCCGTCACCGCGTCTGGTGATTGCATGTTGGAATTAAAAAAAAAACCGAAATCACAAAAAAGCGGCACCCTTTGTCAACTTAATTTGAATCCTTGATTTTAAATGAAGCCAGAATTTTTTGTTTCCAAGAATAGTTTCATCATTTCTGGCTCGTTTTCAAGATTTCACAAACCTAAACAACTGCGTCTGGAAAATTAAAATCAAAACATCTAGTTGAAATAAAATCAAGAGAAAATTGTATTTGTCAGAGGATCTCTGTAGAACTACATACACATATATCACCGAAAAATTTCTATATACATAATATGATGGACAAAAATTATTGGTTTCTAAAGCTGTCCAAAGAAGATTACGGTCTTTATGTCCAAGGCCTTTTTAACATTTCTAACCAGTGATGTGTTACTACACATGGTGTGTTACTACACATGGTATAATACCAACTGAGCTCTGTAACTATTCCAAAGAAATGCAAATTTTCTCTCTCGCAGTTATTTCTGAAATTCATTTCAATTCTAATTCTGTGGACAAGACATTAATCAGAATTCGGTATGCTAAGACGCTTTCTACACTTTTTTTTGTGGATATGCAGTGAACAAAATAGTATATGTTACCATGTACCAAGGACCTTGGTGTTACTGAACGTTGGAAATCGTCAAGCAAGCTCACAATACGTCAAGTAATAATATGCCTGTTGTAACACGTTTAATTAAAAAAAAAAACAGGTTTGAAAGGCACCAAGAATGTAACTATGATCTGTTTAATACAAATGCAGATTGCATGTTTTACCACCGAGCATTATGCAAAGGAAAAATTGTGCACTAGCACATTGTTTTATCATGCTAATCTAGAAAAATAACGTTACAGATCTCGCTAAGATGATAGCAGCTTACAAAACGTATAATCGGTAGTACAACCTGAGCTTAAGATCCAAGCACAATAAGAAATAACACAGCAATATTGCAAAGACTTAAAATTAATTAAAAATTGCACTTACCCAGAGTAAGTCGTCCGAACTTGAATACTGCGTGCACGTTATTTGGTAACTCCGACTTTTTGCAACCACATTTATATAGCAGACCGTGTTTCCCAACACGCAACTGTTTGCAATGACTGTATGACCCTCCGGAAACTACCTTGTCGTCATACATACGACTTGACGGTTTGACTCTCCGGAAACTACCCTGATGTCATACTCGTACCTTTAATGTGTTTGTTTCCAACGTACAATATGACCCGCACCCTCTAGAAAAATGGAATGGCCCCAGAACTAGCACCGCATTCACAGGTCACCGGGTTAACCGACTCGGTTTCCATCGGGCGGTTTGTTTTTGTGACGTAGTGTCGATACAGGTGCACTCTGCGCACGCCTGAGCGTGTGCCAGGTGTCGGTGTCGGTGGGCGTGGTTTTGAAGAGCCCAAGCGCTACTACGTGGTTTCTGTTGCTACATAATCATTCACGAGGGCAAAACAGTATATTTCTGTGTATTACACGCACGTCCTATATTAAGGAGTGGGGCTGTTGCTGTCAGATCTTGTGAATTAATCACTGCAGCAATCGAAGTCTGCATTTTGCCAGACAGTGACCCCATAGGAAACCCCGAGTTGGTATGGCCCCTAGGCACACATGGAAGGGTATATTGTACGCTGTATGCAAAACCTTGGTGAAGACTCATTCTAAGGACAAGGACAGTCGCGTTTCTTCGCTTGACTTGTGTACTTTGCAGTTCCTTTAGTGAGTACTGTATCATTTTTCAGTCCGCGACAGTTTTATGAAAAGTTTCCCCGTGCTAAAACGTGCTAAGCCCGTTTATAATGTACCTGATAGTGTTTTTATTTTGGAATAAACAACGGATTTCCACCGTTCAGATTATATGCCTTACACACTTTACCATACAGACTGGGACCATCTTACTTGTGTGTTTTTGTCGCTTGTTATACTATTATACTGTTTTATATAATAAATCCAAACTTAAGCAACGACAAATTGCCAAAGACATAACGTTACCTATGTCGAATAAAGAGATAGTTGACATAATAATAACTTAATTGCACAACAATTGTACAGGGTACTAGTACATATTGACTACAATTTTATAAGGCTAACCTACCTAATACAAGAGTGGGTGGCTAGTATAGGATAGGCATGAACTTTTACAAGCTTTGGAGGAATTTCTAACATAGTCACCAACTCCCAGGCGTGATTGAGAATATCATTCTGGATCCCATAGGTTGCACACGTTTTCCAAGGTGCAGCGTATTAACTTCTTAGTATTCCAGGTGGCTTACTGCCAGATTCAGACGTTTTTGTGCAAATCGAGATATTTTTATAGAATATTTGTCCCATGTTGGAATACGCCTCCCATGTGTGGGGTGGTTCACCACACTGTGTACAGCCTGATGAGCTGAAATAAGTTTAACAATCGTCAGCATGCTGCAGAATAATTAACTTTACCCTGGTCAAGTTCAGTCAGGCTCCAGTGGTAGAAATGCTTTTTCTCATGCAGTGTCCGGCAATATTCTCTCTCACCAGTCTCACCAGCAATATTGCAGAATGTCAAACGTTTGTTTTGCACTTTGGAAAAACTTTCTGCAAATACACACTTATAAGTCCAGACATAAAACCCATGACATATAAAACAAAATTGCATGTTGTCATTGTTGGCATACATTTTGCATGTAATTAAGATACATGCGAAATTTCCAGAACATTAATAAAATTCAAATTCAAGCCAACACCATTGAACCCCAAACCTTAATTTTTACAGTTTGCAAAATGGCAGGTTGGTTTTCTTCTGCAATATTGAAAATAACTCAGTAAAATGCAGCCTATAGGTGGTTAACGTTATTTTCTAACACTGGGCTCCTATTATTTTGGCCTAAAAAAGGTAAGACATTTGTGAGAGGAGTTAAGCAGAAGTTGAATGAAGATTATCAAGAATACTGTGTCTCAAGTGGCAGTTAAAACGTCTTTGCCTTTAAGTTTTATGAATGTACATTTTTTTCATGAAGCACCTTATAAGAATAGCACTCGCGCTGATCATAGTTATAAGTTTTTTGTCCCTTCATGGTAGGAATAAATTATCTCTCTCTATGTATGGTACAGTATTCAAGATTTTCACTGGTAATATAGTGGACGAAAAATGTCACTAGAAAAAGGTCTTCCGGCAAAAGTGCTTTATTCAAGTATTCAGAAGTACATATGGATTAGATCATGTATTTGACGATTACTTGGTGTGTTGCAAATAATAACAATACAGCACAATGCACACGCAGTTGATAACGTCCCATACCACTGTTTGAAACACGTTAGCAAAAAGCAGAATATTGAGGAGAAAGAAACTTTAATTAGCACAAAAACACACTAGCGCACATATCGTTACCCAACATATAGAATACAATAAAAAAACAAATTATTATTAAAATGTGATTATTACAAGCAAACGTTTGGGGAATAACGTCTCTTGCTAATATCACAATGAATTACCATTAAAAATGTCAGTCACACTTTCTAGATCTACGTGTATTAACACAATATGTATGTAAACTGTTTCACAATTACACAACAAGTGGATAAGTATTTTGGTACACAGCGTAGCTGTATTTACTCCGTTATTATGATGAATGAAAACGATACATTAAATGATTATTATTACAGACGATGTCTACACTCTCAAACACTTATATGCAAAACAGTACTGATACACTTCCCTACGATCACAAAGCATTGACTTAAATTTGAGTAGATCGTAACATTTTCATGTTTGCTGCAATATCTTGAATATGACGATACCATTTTAGTGCTTTATAATATTAGGCGAACAAAATCTAGTCGTCTTCCGACAATAATACATTACGGTACTTGTCACGTTTAACGATAATACGAACTGTTGCATATGAAGCACTTGTAAAAGCATGCCTTATCATAGGCTGTTAAAGTCATGTTTGTTGTCGTTTTCGTAGTTAGTTTCAACTACAATAAGTTGCCGCGTCACACCGCGCCTGTCGGCCGGCGGTCCTCACCAGTATACCCGCTCTTACAACACCCTACGCCGGTATGTTCTGAGTTCGGCGATAAAGATATCGCCCATGTCTTTTCTGCCGATGTTTTTTAGTGACCTCTTGGCCAGGTGAGGCCGGAGGACAGGTCTTAAATGTGTCTCAAATCAAAGTGTCCACAGAATTACTTTCGCCGCAATTTTTTGGCATGAGCCCTTAGGTTTGTTGATCTGTGTTTCTTTGAATGCATGTAAATCGTTGCCTAGCCTGGGTACCAAACCTTAGGGTGGGCTTTTGGGTGATTTTTCTACTCCAGCCTTTACTAAGCACAGGCGAGCTATAACCACGGGCCTATATCCAACTGGTTTATCTTCATCCGCTGGCTTCTCGCGCCGACCAGAGCGAGAAACCGATAAGCGAAGAAAACTAAACCGCCTGCATAAAGCTTCCCCCGGCGCGCGGTGATTGGGGACTGATTTGGCGGCCCGTGACGCTACCAACGCCGCAGAGATAGCGCCGAGCTCACGGGGGTCTGGTTACCAGGTTGCCGGTCTTTTCAAGCGGAATGACGATCGTCAAATTACGTACCCCATGTAATCACCACTTTTTGTACTGATTTGTGTTTTAAAAAGCTCCATACAAATCCTTTTAATATCCATTATCACCTTTAAATAAAAAGATCAAGTAACAACCAAATCATTAGTATATAGTTGTGTGCAAACAAGTTCTGCACAGTAACTTAAAAACATTCATTTGTCACACGAACTCACAACTTAAAACGGAAAAGCTCAACACAAAGATGATTCTGTGCACATGGGCTCAGCGCAGTATTTCATTTCGTCGAGCAAGATTATGTGTCTACTTCAGCTGAGCAATCTGAACTTGTATCTCCTGGGCTTTCTTGATCTGATCCTTCCTGCCTGGCCATTTTCTGTTGTACAACTCCAAGAGCTCGCCGACGTAGCCCTCTGCCTTCTCGAGATCGTCGCCGTGGTTACGCCGTACCAGACCTTCGGCCAGCCCGAAGAGGGCGTCCGACAGGGGGTAGTCTTCCTTGCCCCTCTCGGTCTCGAGGTCGTACGCCTTTTGGAACCAGTCAAGAGCCTCCTCAAGTTTCTTACTGTCGCCGTCGTCAGCAAAAAACCTTCCTATTTGTGGACGATATGATAGAATGAATGAATTTAGTTTTCATTCGAAAAAGAAAAACAGCAAACAGATGAAAATTCGAATGCTCATTGGATTCAATAACATACCATTTAACTTGCAATGACTATTGACGACATGTGGTAGCGGCATTGGTCCAAAACCTATGCATGCTACAGCAGAAGGTATATGTTGGAAAGCAGTATTAAACGTAGTCCCCACCTGCAGTGTTGTAGAAAACTGCCAAACGTTCTGGCCGCTCCACGATCTTTCCATAGGCGTCCTTCTCCACCTGCTTTTCTGCTTGCATGATCATATTCCTACAGGAAAAAAAATTCAGAACGCATGATACGTGACGGTCATTCTGTACCTACATGTATGTTATGTACATTGAAAAGACAGGAAATATATATGCTAGTCACCATCATCTACTAGTCAGCCTGTAACAGCCGGGACTAAGCTAGTACACAGATCTCCCTCCACATTACCGCTATCAATCATTCCTGAGTTATCATAATCAATTCCAGTGTCTCTTACTAAAATGCACTTGGCCACTTGGTACATGAGTACAAATGAAACTACTTATTTTTTGGGGGCTCGAAAACAGTGTCCAGCAAACTTTATAAAAAAACTCGACGGTGGGTGAGCTTCTGATAGAGTCTTGGGAGACGGTTTTTAAATAGCACTGAGGTTTCTACCCTGTTTAAATAAATAAAACAGAAATAAATAAATAAATAAATAAATAGACTTCCATAAATTGTTTTCAGAGTGGCATGTGTGTGTCCAAGATATGTTCTGTGCCCTGCGCAGTTTTGTTTACAAGCTAATAGCTACAGGCTAGCACCCGTGCATTAACTGATAAAAAAGATGTGGCGCCGCTCATGTTGTTGTAATTCCTACCTGCACTCGGTCTGTGCCTGCTCAAAATACGCCAGCTTTTCTTCCTCGGTCTCGGAAAGTTTGATGAGCGCGTTGAAGCACTTCACGAGTTGGCGCTGGCACATCATCAGGCTGTAAAACAAAGATCAAAAAAATTAATATTCAAGTGAGATATGATTCGCTGGAGATATATCAATTATACTTGTGATAGATTAATTTATTGAGGATGTAAGAATACATTAATCTGACGTCCGTGAATAGTGTCATCAGGTTGGTAAGTCACTGAACCAAGAGGTGTAGAGATGTAGATATTTTGCGTTTGGGGACGAATCTATTACAGCGACACTTGTGCTGTACAATGTGAACCAGTCTGCTCTGAGGAAGGTGACAGACGGTCACCAAAACATCGGCTGAATAAACCTCTTGGTTTTGTAAAAAGGACATCTTTATTCAATTATTCTGACCATCAGGCAGCCAGTTATTGTGAGGGTCAATACATAATACTAACTACGCATAAAACAGTTACAGATTCTACATAATGAATTACAGTCACATAATGAAAACAAAATCCACAAATAATACTTAATAAATTACACACTGAGATAATGATCCATTTAGAATACTACTAAAGGGAAAATTCCAGCATAACACTACAGACTGCACTACATACTATTAGGCAAAATGCATGATCAAGTGGCCAATTGGATTTATCCCAGTTTTGGAGTCAGAAACCACATGAGGCCCCGTTTATGAAGATACTGACAATCATCTTCGACTGCGAAAACTTTAGAATACCTGTAGCTGTCTTGGCCGGACTTCTTCAGGACGCCGAATTCGAAGTATTCTCCTCTCCCCTCCACGAACTCCGAGTACCTTTTCGTGGCGTACTTGATATCCCTCCTCAGGTCGTCTGGACTCTGGAAATAAAACGCGCGGACTTGATGAATGGTTGTGAAATAGCAGCACAGTTGAACTGAATGTAAACGTGCAGTAACGTTGTTCGGAATATTAGACAAGTAATTGAAGAAGTCAACTCTAATAGTCGAAACAATATAGGCTCTATCAGGCTTCGGAGTTGGTCCGCGCTAAGAGAGGCAAACTGTACGCGGACCAACTCCCCTAGAATATCGTCTATTTGGCCAATTTCTACTCTTTCTAGCCGCTTCCCTAGCCTCCTTCGCAGACTTGTGGGGAGTGACAGGGAGTTTGCCGCCAATAAAAGACTCCCTCCCTGGCATACTAGCAACTCGCGTCGCTCCCCGAATATAAATACGCCGCAGCCGTACAAGTCTCCGAAGGAGGCTACAGCTTCCCGATGCCTCGCAGAAGCTAAAATCAAGTGTCAATCACGTGCACTTCGCTTACCTTTCCTTCTTCTTCCAGACGCAGGTACAGAAGTGCGTTGGTCTCAGAAAGGTACCTGTGCAGAACTGGTATCCCAGTGTGCTTCTTGATTTGGTCGCACACGTAGTAGGCCAGCTGCATGCTTCTGATGAGACTGTCTTTTCCCGCTGGGTCGTTTGCGTATTTCTCCTGCGTTTGAAGACATTAGATAATATAATGAGATCACCACAAAGACAACTATATATAATTAATTATCTGTTAACGATATACAACAAACAATTATCTGTTGACGATAGCATATGTAAATATTGTACAGAAAATGCAGAGGAGCATAAAATTCTATTAACACCTCCCAATTCGTATTTCTCACAAAACGTCAGGCATGTCATACTAATTTGTACACAGAAAAGAAATCAAACCCAACAATAACTATATTAAAAGTAGCATTACTAGTAATATTTATGGTTATTTTTACTGTTTACTATAATTTTATCATGTCTTTGGAATGAGCCATTGGCATTGGATTGAATTCACAATAAACTTTCTTAAAATGAAGTGGAATAACATTCACACTGCCTGAAATCTGGAGATGGTCAGAATGACTCCACACCTTCATGTAGAAGAAGCAGCGTCCCAGTGAGTAGTTGATGGAGGCGTACAGCTCGGGTAGGTACGCCTCCTTCATGCGCTCCACGTCAATGGCGATGCCGTCCTCCACCATCTTCCTGTACTGCGCCTGTGTCAGCGGCTCCTTGTTCCTGACGGACTCGGCCAGGCCGGCGGGGGCTTTGCCGAGCGCGCGGAACAGAGCCAAGTCCTGGTCTACGATCACCCGGCTCTGGATCATGGTGGTGAAAACCTCGTCGGGGAGCCGCTTGCTCGCCTCGGATAGCTTCCAGTACAGGACTTCGGCTTCCTTGACGCTCTTCTCTTCCACGCTGCCCTGCTCGTCGATGGAGATGTAACCGCGGGTGTGTGCCTGGAGCTTTTCAATCACCTGGTAGTTCACGTCCCGCCAGTCGATTTTGGCGAGGTCCTCAATATGATCCTGTCAGGAAAAAATTAAACCGAAATTCAGCATTTTTTTTACTTGTCTATTATTTGGTTTACTGTTTATTGAAATTTTCCACGAAGTCCGGGAGGACCATACAAACAGGACAACAACATCAGAATATATTCCAAAGTCAACATACTCAACAATATATGAAAATATACAAAGAAACAATAAAATAGTTAAGTATAATCCAAATAGTAGTAAATTAAATAAAGCATGTTATCAATCAAGCAAGATCTTAGTGACTTCAAGATCTTAGTGAATTCTTGGGGCAACTCACACTAATTAGTCCAGGACGATCAAGATTGTAGTGTGTGTTGAATCTGTATGCACGCTCACGTGAAAACAACTAGAACGGTGTTCAAATAAGCTTTCTCTAACATGTCCTGCGTACCTTAGCGGCCCTGAGGTGTTCCTCGGCGTTACCAGGCATCCCACACTGGGTGTTCATGAAGCCGTACACCTCGCTCAGACGGGCCAGGGCCAGGGAGAACCTCCCGTCGTCGTTAACGGCCTTGGCGTACCGCAGGGCCTTTCCAACATGCGGCTGGAGGAGTTCAGCAAGTCTGCCGGATCTGCGAAGTGATTTTTTTTTTAAATTTTCATTTCAAGACTATTCAAAACAAAATGAGTACAATACAGATTACAATATAAACATACAAATCACAAAAGAATAAAACAACACTTTTAGAATAAATGTGACAAAGCAAGTCTGTGCGTTTTTATAATACTTCCAAGGAATATGCTACAATCAGCTTTGGTAGACATCGCCTGTCTGGTTTCCATTACTGCGGTTTCTACATTAGTTTTTAAATTAAAAATGACGTTTTTTTTGCTATGGATATCATTACATTCATATACATTGTGGCATGGATATCAGATAATTTAAAACATTTGTAACATACTAAATATATCCCAAAATTGTCAACGTGAAAGAAATTATGATAAATACAGTTGACAAAACACATGTAAAAAAAGTGCAAAGCATAATCTATGCACCAAAAGATCAAAACATGGATTGGACATCGGTAACGTACTTGGTGTATCGGTTGTCCTTGACGAAGTACTTGAGGAGTATGTCCTGCAGCTTCTTCAGACGTTCTTTCTCCTCTTGCTCGGTGAACGACAGACGCATCACCAGCTGGGTCACCTAGTGGACAAGATAAGAGACAATGGTTTCAGCGATATGATTAAAGCTTAACTAATATTCTATTACAATACTGATCAACCTTTCTTTTGTTTTGAAACTGATCCATACAAAACTCTATATATAAGAGACAGCGCGAATGGAATTCCCATTTTTGTACATATCATATTCATGGTTGTCATTTATGATAATGATCGTTAATAATAAGTGGTTTATTTATGAACATAAGGGAAATTCCAAAACCACATTGCAGTAAATTTATAAACGATTTTGTTAGACTGAATTGCGTGGCCCTAGGGTCAGCCAGATTTAATTCCGTGATCTTAACTGCAACATTTCTCTAGACAACAGCTTTGTACTTTGTACCCCCGTCAAGCCCCACACCATCGCACCTCGTGAACGGAGAGGACGCGGTCGTTGTCGATGCCCTCCACCGTCCCCAGAGACAGGTCCTCCACCTGCATGACGAGATGGTTGAGCGCCACGTTCCTCATGGCGGGGGAGTCCTGCACGTCCTCCTTCAGAACCACGATGGGGATCCTGCTCTTGTCCATGTAGCCGGTCAGCTGGAACATGGACCGTGTCTGCAAGGGGAAGAAGAGAAAAGAGGAGGTCGTGTTACGGTCCTAAATTTTGCGTTAGGAGAAACCTTTACAGCTCTGTCGCACAACGCCAATTTTTTTCTTTCGCTCCGTGGCAGTCCCTTATATAACGTTACATCCGTTGCCAATTCAAATATTTTTTTTTCGTTTTCGTTCGGAAAGTTGCTAACCTGTTGGTCCAGTTTGCTGACTGCCAGACGCAGGGCTGCAAAAAGGTTTCTGCCAGCTTTCTGGTCCTCCGGTCTTTCGTAGAACTGCGACATCCACCTGATAAAGTCAAAATACATTATCTGTCATTTTTATTATTATCACAGGCGGTTCGAATTACTAATATACGAAAGTTCATTTAGAAACAATGTTTAACAGTAGCACTTGAAACAACGACTTAGTACTACTAGTAAGTTACAATAACATGTCAATGATACTTTTTTATTTCAACATTCAAAGAAACCAATACGTAGTGGTAGCATAATTAATAAAATGATCAGACAAAAATATCAAATGGGTAACGTCGGATGTACAGTAACAGAATTAAACAAAATAATGTTAGTGAAGACACCGCTTAGTTTTAGATAAGTATAACTGTGTGATAGCGAGAATTTGAGTGTTGGTTTCAGATGGCAGTAGAGGTGATCCTTTGAGTAACTGATATAGCACTATCAGATAAATTGTTGATATCTAAAATGGAATATTCAGATCCAACAATACTTACTTGTCCGCTTTCTCCTCCAGTTTGGACGCAGTCTCTCTCTTCTCCAGAAGAGTCAGGTAGTTTTCCACGCTCGTTTTGGCGTAGAACAGGTAGCTGCGGGCGGCCGCCAGCCCCAGGGGGAGACCGCTGAACGTCGTCGCCAAACTCCGCAGCTCGTCAGCGGGATGGTCCTGCAGCTTCATCCGCAGAAATTCCACCGCCTCCTCCTTCAAGAAGCCGTTGACGGTGATGTAGGAGTCTTCCGGGATGGAGACGTTTGACGGCTGCTGGAGACGCTTGCGGTGGGTGATGAGCAGGATCTTTGACTCCTTTCTCGGTTTCAACAAGGCGGGCGAGAGGAACAGGCCGTCGTCCAGGTCATCCATGATCAGCAGGACCGGAGTCTTCCGGTTGTCGAGGGCCTTCGCCACGCAGTCGTCCAGCTGGGTGTCATCGGTCGGGACCTTTTCCTTTAGCGCCTGAAGGAGGTTCTGTTTGTCGGTGAGGAAACTCTTCTTGTCGTGGCCGTCTAGCCGCCACACCACGGCTGTCGGATGGCGCTCCACGAAGAGCTGCGCCTGCCACAGGGCGAGTTGGGTCTTCCCCGAGCCGGTGATGCCGGACAGCACGACGACGAACCGCCCGCCTTCCATGGCCAGGTTGACCTGCCTGGCGTCCTCGGAGGTGTAGAAGTGGCTCACCGGCTTGGCGAAGTTCTTGACGGGGTTGTAAACTCTTCCGGGCTCGCCAGCCAGGAGGGCCGCCAGGTCGTCTCGGCGCTGATCTTTCAGAGCCTGGCGGAAGGCGTGGAACGCCGTGGTGCCCTTGGTGGGGAGGATGCGAAGCAGGGTCTGGGCCCGCTCCGGTGGAGACTCTTCCCGCTCGATCACGGTGCGCTCCCGGTCGGTCAGGACGTCAGAGTTGAGGAGGAGCAGGCAGGTCTTCTCCGTGTCGAGGCAGGTGGCGATGTCCCGGCGGTGCTTACGGAGGAGGTCCCACCGAGCAACATCCTCGCGGACATCGGGGGAGCTTCCTTTTCATTCAAAGAAAAAAAAAAAAGACATTACCACTGCAGAATATGAATGGTTAGTGTCATATGACTTATCAGACGCTTCCGATTATGCCTGCTCTGTGTTTAGCCTCCTGTGCAGGCCCCCGAACGGGTGGGAGTTTTGATACTGCGTTTTGTGCAGAAGGTTATACCGCCATGCAGAGAAGGTAATTCCGTGGCGGTATAACCTTCTCTGGTGGTGTAACCTTCTCTACAAAACGCAGTATCAAAACTTTCACCCACATGGAGGCCTGTACATGTACTAGGGGGGCTACTCTGTGTTCATGTCAAACATTTGCCGCAGATTCATACTCCTTCCCGACATGATAATTTCTCTGCGGCGTGAGTCTATCTACTCCCTCCCCTGATCTACGAAAATAGTGCGATGAATAATGAACTAGCCCTGTGTAACGAGTGGCTGGTGTGACCTTCTACCTACCACGTCAACAATAGTTAACTGTAGCGGCTGTTAGCGACTTTACTCATGGGCCATGTACACATAAAAGTGTGGTCCTTGGTAACTTAGGTACCTCGTAGTCAGCCCCATAGCTAGCTCGGGAAATATTTCGCAGACCTTTGTTTCTTACTCGTAGACACAGTCGATATGCTCTTGTGGAACAGATCCGGTTATGTGTCTTGATGTTAACACGTTTACACTATTATACTGCCCACTATACAACCACCAAAGAAAGCTTTAAAGACCTTGCTCGGCAATCTGTATAACCTTGTAGGCAACGTTTTTTATTTACGCAACATAGCTGGAGAAGCTTGTGTCAATTTATTACTGAAGGGTTCACACCACGTGTGTTCTGATATTAACATGCATGTTGTAACTTTGCGATTTATGCCATTTATACCCGACCAAACATTTGAACTGTCTACAAAAATCAGTCAATTTTTATATTGATACATTATAACCTGTCATCCTACCCATTTGGTGTTTTGTTATTTGTAATTTTGTTTTCTTATTATTTCAAGTTTCAAGTTTTTTTAATAATATCAGCCTTGCAGCCAGTTTCACAAGTCAACCAAGCTGAATTACACTGATTTTATACATAGCAAATACAAATACACACTGACGTTACAATACATGTACAGACACGCTGACAAACATGTTACAGAGCCACACATGGGCACTGAAGTGGAGTCCAGAGTCCAAGTTGAAAGTCATTGCGGCAAGGACTCATGGTACAGGCATATTGCCTTTGTAATTTTGTTTTGTTATTTATCATATTTGTCGGTAGTGTGACTAAAATTAGCGATCTGCTGGAGTTGTCCACCCCGTGTATTATTTTTATATTGTTGAATTAAAAAAAAATACATTTATATCTTGCATTTGTGAAAAAACACACTGTAGCTGCAAATCACAGATTCTGTACGTCCATATGAACAGCCTTTTTTCCCTTACCTTGCTGGAACTCCCTTTCCTCTTCCGAGGACGACACGGTAGACTCCAGCTTCTCGGCCACCTCTCTGTACGTCGCCGTCCCGTCCTGTTTCTCCTTCAGGGCCGAGCAGAACTTCTGAAACGCGCCGTCTCCCTTCCTGGGCAGCATGAAGAGCAGCGTCTCCATCTTGTCCTCCTCCGTGGCCTTGTTGTCGATGCGGTCCACATCGTCGATGGTGAGCACGCCCTTCTCGTACAGGTAGCCTTTGATGTAGTGTGTGGAGACCGTCCTCTTCAGGAGACGGTGGTTCATGCGGAGCTTGTTGCGGTCACGCACGTCCATTTTGCTGAGGAAGACAGACATTTTCACGGTCACAAAGACATTGTCAAATGCTCTCCATTTTAGAAGACACAAGGTTAAGAATACGTGGCATTTTTAAGGTTTAGATATACAACTTTTCCACAAGTTTACATACACAACTGTTCAACCAGGAAATCTTGACCAGAGGTAAGAAAACAAATTTAGCACCAATGTTTGAATCATGCCTGCTGTTTCTTTGAATGTAGGCTAAACGTTTACTAAACTAACAAAAACCCGGACGTTCATTCTAAATGGTTTACAGTGGCCCACTACTTGCTTTGAGTAACAAGTATAGCACATCGCAGATACATAGAAAGGATAGCTCTCTGTAGCTCGTGATATAGCAAACGCTGCTGGCTACCTTTCGCGTCGGAAATGTGAGTCGGCAAACGCCATGATGGCGACGGAGGTACACCTACACTGGCAGGTAGGGACAAAGGTCAAACAAAGCTAGGTGTAATTAATAGGCGAGGTCACCAGTAGCCTGGTGTGTCCACGGTCTATCGCGGTTGGGCTGGATTCTCTTCGGGGCTACGGAAGCTCTTCCCCGCCCGACTCAGCTAGGTTTCCCGATAGTTTTTTGCACGACGGGAGTTAAATTAGGGTTTAATCAACACCTGGCGTGCAAAACTACAGGCGTAACACTCCTACACTCGGGCTGTCTGTTGAGCTGGGCGGGGGAAAACTATTAGAGCTCCGAAGACAGCCTGTTACTTCTGCGCAAATGTATGTTAGCTCGAGCTTGCTTTGCTCGTCTTTTTTAACGTTTTTTAAATAGTTTTTCTAGTGGTGTACTTTTCCCTGTAGACCACTAGACAGACGGATAAAATGCAATAAAACTATTGCAAAAAAGCCTGAGCCAAAACCTTACATTTGCTCGGACTAGGTCGCTACTATAGTGGTATATTGGAAAAGCGGTAAATATCAGTAGGCTTTAAAGAAGGAGCGTAAAATAGAGGAAAAAGTGCAGACTCATTTAAATAAGGCTTTGAAGACGAGGGAACACCCACACCAAGCGCTAGCTATGGTATACGTACTACATCGCACGGTCGGTGATTTTCAACGACTTGCAAAGATCGACGGTGCTGTATTTTTCTCAGTACTCGGGATAGTGGCGAGGAAGGTTGTCGAAGGTATAGATCGGCAGGGAAAATAAGCTAAGTCTGCGTAATGCGTGTGTTTTATAGAACGACTGGCATGGGGTTCCCCGCCATGTTGAAAATGTATTCTGTAAGATTTAGGGCACGACGTATCGCAACTACGTCACGTCATGTATTCAATGAGCGGAAGTCCCCGTGTGACATCATGCATATGTAACACCGCCTAGCTTCTCCTTCGTCTTCTCGATCCTTCTCTCTTAATTTTGTCCTACATTTCTTATATAGAAGATATTAAACATGGGTACTGTTTTCCTTACGTACAGATATACTTGTCCAGAATCTTACTAAATACTAGTAATCACTGACGGCTACTAAATAATAAAATGTGCCCCGTCTCTCCGGGCCTAGCCTAGGTGCCATCCGCTTCGTAAAGGGCCTCGTTACACTTGTGTTTTTTTTTTTTTTT